TGGAATTATCGTTATTCCTCATAACATCGTAAGGCTTAATTCCGTATATAAATAGACTAGCAGGGATCCCACGCTTCTAGCAGTTTCATTTTATCTCGTTGGTTAAGCTTTCTATTTATATCGACATTGTCGATGTCCACAGTTCGCAGTCATTTTTTGCTCCCCTTTATTTTATCTGCACATTTATTCTAGCTACTACACTACAGCTAAAACAACTAAAAAAAGCTACAACAAAAAAAAACACGACTTTTATGCTTTTCTCGGCTTAACCATCTGTTGGTTTCGTTTGTTTTGGCCTATCGAGATGTGCTGAGTTTCATAAACCGGCGAACTGTCCTGGCCACCAGTTTATAGACGACTTTTTTTTCATGTTTTCAGTTTTGCCACGGGTTAGACAATTTTTTTCTTTGCTTTTCTATATTTTAACTTACATTTTCTCTCCTCCTATCTTCATTTCCCTTCTCCTGCTTAGCCTCGAAAGAGCATATGCAGGCATTGTGTCCATCCGCCCGTGGTCTAGTGGCTAAGGTACTCAGCTGCTGACCCGCAGGTCGCGGGATCGAATCCCGGGCGCGGCGATGACATTTTCGATGGAGGCGGAGATGCTTGAGGCCCGTCTGGTTAGATTTAGGTGCTTGTTAAAAAAACCTCAGGTATTCGAAATTTGCGGAGCCCTTCACTAGAGCGTCTGTAATAATACTATCGTGGTTTCGGGACGTTAAATCTCAACAATTATTATTATTATAAGGCGCTGCGCCTCTCTAGAAGGGTGGCTGTCAGCCTGATCTGCCCCTCTTTTCTCTGTGCGTTTGCTCACATATAATAATAATAATAATAATAATAATAATAATAATAATAATAATAATAATAATAATAATAATAATAATAATAATAATAATAATAATAATAATAATAATAATAATAATACATTTTTTCTGATGTTCTTTTAAAAGGAAACGAGTCTTTGGAGCGATTTCACTTCTAGCGTCCTCTGAGGACACTTACATGGTTATCCCGGTGGATTGGCCATGAATGAGGAAAGTAGTTGGCTCAAGTGCTATCGCCTCATTTAGATATCTTTCATGGTTGTGGTGTTCGCCATACGGCAGTCTTTTTTTTTCTTAGATAATAATTACTGTTCACGTTTCTCTCTATCTCGCTCGTTATATTTCGCTCGCACTTTTCGCGCTCTCCTAAGTGGCCCGTCATGGCGAAAAACACTTTCGAAGGCGACGCTGTTTAGTAAAACTCTTGATCACGTGACGCTGCAAAATGTCACGACGTCGTGGCCGAAGCTCGGTTTGTTTTCTACTGAAATAATGGTATTTAACGTGTTTGATCGGCTTGGAATGTTCTCCCATCCATAAAGTTGGAACCCAAGGGCTGTCACAAACTGCCATGTAATGAAGTGAATGGATGATGAAGCCATGCACTGAAGAGATAGGTGGTGTTAAAGTTCACTGTGAGAGAAAGTAATATGGGAGGACGAATACTAGGATTTGCCGCAAGTGAGACACGAACCTGCAACCTCGGCTTCACATGTGCTGTGCAATGTCGGTTGTAGTACACTGGGTTGTAGTATACATTCAAGGAATCTGTCTAAAATTCAAAAAAATATCGGAAACATGATACTAGCTTGCTGCCTTCCTAATTGTATTTTTCTGTTGCCGTAGGTGTCGTAAGGTCGTTAAAGATATCATTTGGGGCAGTATTTAGGAAAGTTCAATTCATACTTAATTACTCGAGAGACGGACGGACGGACGGACGGACGGACGGACGGACGGATGAACGGACGGATTGATGGATGGACGGGCAGGCGTACGGGCCAATGGACGGATGGACGACTTTATTTTGTCTTAAGAAACGTTACTGTTTTAGAGCAACGTCGCAGGCCGCTCCCACTTAGGAACGGGGAGGCCTAGCCTCACCGCCGAATTGTTGGCTCCCTGGACAGCCCGTAGTTGTGGTAGTAACTCTGAACTTCGTAAGGCAGAGTCCCGATCCTCTTCTGTGAGCCGACTTGGGCCCCGTAGCGAGGGGCACCACCAGAGCATACGTCCGAAGTCACTAACCTCACCACAATCAGAACAAGTGGAGTCAAAAGCCTCTGTGTAGATCATGCTGAGAAAAGATAGACTTGGATAGGGCCTGGTCTGGAGCATTCTAAACGTAAGGGCCTGAGGTCTAGACAACTTGCCGTGCGGAGGAGCAGAAAGAGAAACACTTTAATGATAAGCTGGAGATGTTTGCCTGGCTTTTCGCCTGACATGCTACTTTAAATAATGTCAAATGGGAGAGCTGAAAGAAGCTCAACGGCTGTCACAAATAAACCTGGTTTATTTTCGTTGCCCCACAATTATTACTTGGGACCACTTTTTTATACATGTATCAAAAGCTGACACGGGTTCTTTGCAGGCAGAACCTCAATTGCCCTATTTGAAGTAAACACGTAATTCCACTAATTAAAAACTGATTGATTTGATTTTCTGAATGACTGTCCCAAATTATATATTAACCATCTTAGTGTGCCTGCCACTACAGAAAATGTAATTCGCACAGCTGCGATCTAATATCGCGCTTTCCTGATTTTTGTGAATTTTGTAGATATTTCTTGAGACAACCGGTATATACGTCTATGTATGCGGCTCTAAGAGTTTCGAAAGAATAAGTGAACAAGTAATGCGCTGGGGGCGACATTTCCACAAGTGAACCTGTAGTTCTTCTCAACTTCTGTGTTGGTTCGGAATGTTAGCCACCCTTAGTTAGGGCAGCGAGTGTGTGACATATATACCCGATGGTGTCACGAATAGCGTAAGCTTCTAACAACTGGCAGCTGCCTAATTTAACCCTCGCATGGTATACCTAACACCATCCAACATGCCGAAGGTAGGTAAAGATAGTGGACATGGTGGACAGTTGAACAACAGAAAAATCCGTGTTCTTGACGCTAATTCTAACTTGGCCAATGCCGATGGACCATGACAAAAAAACTATACATGTTCACACAAAGAAAATTATTAACATGCAGTGCACATATTAATCGGTTAATTGCCATTTTCTACGCTTTCTGATGCCTGTCCTGATGTAAAGTTTAAGAGTACGTTGGAAACCACCTTCCTGGAATTTGGCATGCAGCGACAATGAAAAAACTTCATTTCTAGAAACTATCATTTGGTGTAGTTTGCTGAATCACTAGCCCAAATATACAGCTGTCACGTTAATGAACCCTCCTAAAAAAGCAGTCAAAAAAGGTTTTCGATATAGTCATTGTTTTTTTCTTCTGCTGTTGTCCACTGCTGTGTGATGTACCCTAGCTACAAAAGAGCGCTTTCGTGTCTATTACATTGAACAATACTATAAGATGCATCTTGTTTAAAAAATAACTAATAATGTTAACTCTATACCTTCTTTCGTACTTGTGAGCTTTCTCAGTGATTCGTAAACTTTTTAGCAAAAACGTCATTTTGCCGATTAGTTACTGAATGTTAGTGCCAAATTTGGTAAAATTAAAGCAACCTGTTTGTCTTTATTCGTAGTTTTATTTTTGAAGAAAAGGGAAATAATAATTTTTTCATCAGAAACTTCAGTAGTAATCGGGAATTAGTCAGTAGTTTCAAATCTATACTGGCAAAGGAAAGTTTGCTCCGCCTTGTGAAAAACGCTGCTATAGGCCACAAGTTAGGTTTTCATATGTAAAGGATAATTTAGAGTTATCAAAATTAGTGTGCATGTATTAGCTCAGCAGGATTAACTTAGGACATTTTGCTGATATCCGATTTTTTCCTGGCCCGGTTCACAGGCTCAGCTAACATCTGCAGAAATACAGCCCAAACATGCATCGGTCGAGAGAACGGACTGCGCAATTTGGAAAACATCCGCGTTGCATGGAAGAACCTCAGCTACGCGGTGAAGACTGGAAAACGTAAGTTACCTATTTTGCCTTCGTTAGCTCCTCTTGGTCGCATTTGCATGCACAGCAGGCGGATGATAAAAAAAGTGTTTTTAGCATCACCCAGCCACCTTTTCCACATCGCCCTAAATAACTAAGGACTTTTCCCTGTTCTGCTCTTATAACTGGTTGGGCTACGAATGTGTTCGTGAAGCACCTACCGCAGAACATAGAGCGGGATTGCGAAGCACAAAAGGGGAATTTCATAACATCCACATTAAAGTGTGATGACCATGTATCTGGTGTGCACATTTGTGCACATTACATGTTGTGGAATACGACGAATACTCTCTCAGGACGACTATTGAACGTTTAATCTGTCTCGGTCCCTCATTAAACTGTTTTATTGAATTTCATGAACGACTTTTTATGTAGTCGATCAAGAAAGGTTGACTTATCTGTTGTTGCGTTGTGTTCAGTTAATGTTACCTTAAACCTAACGTAGAGCCGCTTTTCAACCCGTGTAAGCAGTTATCCCCACGTGCTATGGACTTTCGCAATCTTTCACTTGGTGTCGCCGGTCACGTTCCACCAAATGGCAGCTTGATGAATGAACGTTGTGATGCCTTCCAAGCTCATGCTGTTCTCACAAGGTCAAAAAGGCGTTGCACCAGCAGAATCGTGGGGCGTCTACGCTCTGATTCCTGATGTAATGGAGAAGCCTGTGTGCGTGCGAGTATTTAGGCCCATCTTCCTTCTGATAATTATGTGGTAGGCATCATTCGTAGCATCATTATACAGTAATCGAAAATCGAGTATGTGCAATACGCAATCGAAAGCTTATGGCGTTGTGAATAATCGTCATTGTAGGAAACGCAGAAAAACTCAAAACCAGGGTTATTGCGCTGAATCTCACCATTTCATCTTTTTTTTTTTTGTGTCCAGTACTGTTTGAATAATAGGTACCACTGCTGCTCCAAAATTTTGTCACTGCCCTATGCATATTCCAGTTGATTTGTCAGTCGTATTGACCTTGCTTAGCGATGCTACATTGTCAATCTTCATTAGTGTAGAGGCAATGACAATTTCTTGTTTTTAAACTACGCTCTTTTCAGGCCTAAAACCTCTAGTGGACAACTTGAGTGGCGAGGCTTTGCCGGGTACACTCACGGCCATTATGGGTCCTTCCGGTGCCGGCAAGACGACGCTGTTAAACCTTCTCACTGGGTTTTAGTAAGTATCGCCTGGCTGTTTGACTTGTATTTGTTAAAACCCATTCAGGTGCAACCACAACGAATTTGACAAAGACAACTCACTTAATATGAAATGCCCGCAGCAGCCGACGTCGAAAATTTTGAAGTTCTTCAATAATGTAAAATGAAGCGACATATTAATTTTCAAATATACCAGCATAGTTTGATTTCACGCGCAAACAAGTTCGGGAGATATTTCTTCGTATGAACAACACGAACCGGCTGATGGATTTGCTAGCAGATTCTATTTAACGAATCAACCCACCGTGGTGATTTATAGTTATTTTGCTGAGCTGTTAACTCAAAGGTTGCGGGATCAAGTCCTGGACGTGGTCACCGCAGTTCGACAGAGGCGAAATCTTTAAAGTTCGTGTACTTACTTTTTTTAATTTGGGTGCACGTTAAAAAACACCAGCTGGTCAAAATTTCTGGTGCTCTGTGCTACAGATAAGCATATCATAGTTGGAAACGTGAAACTACAATAGTTATTATATTGTTATTTCGTGTAGCATTGGTTAGATTAGATCGGCAGAATTTTTACACTTTGTGCCATTGCTTTCTTGCGTTTTTATAAACAGCAAGAAAGTTATATATGTATGAACAATGTGGGATTATCATACGATGTTGTGTGACCGCCTTGACGTAATGATTGGATCTAGTGCAGCGACGTGAAATTTCGACACTTAAGGCAAGTTATGTTCAGTTGAAGTTTCTAGAACGTGTGCCAGCCACTTCAGCGGCTGGCATTGGTTCTATGGCCAGAATTTCTTTCGTGCAGGAAAACGTCGTCGTTGCGGTGTACCGAGCTGCAACTTACAAATGATTGCGCATGCCGATGGGATTGTCAGGTCACCGTTGGATACTGGTTGTAGATGAATAAATATTGCGCAACTGCCAAGCGCTGACCTTGTGGAGTGTTGGGCATCGAGGAATCGGAGGTTCGTGTGACTGGCTTTCGAAATCCAGCTCTGAGCGTATACCCTTGAAGGACGGGACGCTCCTCGCGGGTTACGGTGTATCTCCGATTCTCTCGACATTTTCGTTCCTGTGTGAGTATGGTCACGTATCAATAAAGCAAGTGTGGTCACGTATTCAACATATTTGCTGAGTGACACAATCAGCGCTGCAAAACTCAAACAAACAAAAAAAAAACAGGGGTGACACAGGCAAAGTGCTTCGTCTGTGGGGCCCCTGTTTTTTGCCTTTTATTTTATTTATTTATTTATTTTCAGATTTACTGCCAGCCTTTGAAAAAGGCCTTTGGCAGGAGCGGGCAGAACAAATAAAAGAATGCGAGAACATACGCAAATACGTCCACAAAGCAACCGCAACAATGAGCGGGAACAAAATAAAAATAAAAATATACAATTGCGCAATCAACAAAGTGACAGCAGGTACTATCAACAACTTGTTTGGTACCAAGCCAGACCTACACTGGTAGAAACAATTAATAATATACAAGACATGACTGGAAAGAGCAGGAGAAGTCTGGATTCTACAAGAGGACACTGTAATTAGTAACACCACCGAGGTGCACCGCTAAAACAAAGCAGAGTTACAATGTGACACACTCAATAACAACAACAATCATTCAGCATGGTCCTATACAGGCCCCTATAAACTAGCTCTTCTGAAAGTAATAACAGTTTCTTTGTGTCAAAGACGTACAATCACACATGAACTTTTGCTTTTTTTTTAAACAAGACGCAAAGGAGTATGTAGCCTATTCGACGAAGGAATGATCAGTTGGTGCAAGGCTGCGCAGTTCAAAGCTATTCAGACGCGCTGATGTCACTTCCTTCCAATAGCCACAAAGAAACGACTCACTGCAGTGAGAATGAAGGGAACTATATTGCTACGAGCGATATGTCGCAATGGCGTATCCAGTGGTGGGGAGGGATTTAGCCCCATTGTCCTGATACTTTTCAACTTCTGCTTGTCTGTATATGTACATGTAGAAATACAAAAAAAAAACACACTCTAAAATGCAGAAAAGGTACTGTCTTGTCCTCTGATCCCCAACACACACATACACCTAAGAAAAATATTTCGCTATGCCCTACATATAAAAAAAAACTAAGATTTTGAGTCGCACTTGCTGCTCACTGTCAGATACAAACTGAACTGCAGTCTCACTATTCTGGAGACTACTGAGTGATTTGACGGCTCGTTTTTGGTTCTTTATATGGTAACAAAACTGTGTTACCGCAAGCTTGTTCTTTGGTTGGACAAGTTCTTTGTGGTCATTTTCAATGATGCATTGTAACGACATGGAATTTCTTTGTCTCGGATATAGACGTATCTTATGACAACAATATTTCTGAAAACACAAATCCACGACCTAGTTCCCAAAGCTGCCGTGACTTTTCGCCAGTTGATAGCCACCTTCGCGGAAATGTCCGACATGAAAACTGGCTAGAATGTTTTGTTACAATACTGTTTAGCGTAAAAGGTAACTACTGAAAAAGTTAGGAAACTGCAAAAACATTGCACCCCCCCGCGACGTCTTAAGTGAATTACGCTCTCACGTTTTAATGCACATGCATACCCCATAATGTGGACGGGGGGATAGTCGTGGTGGTAGCTCAGTTGGTTGAGCGTCGACCTCGTCATTCGAACGTTGCAGAGTCGGTCCCTGCCCACGGCAAGTTATCTTTCCGTGCTCATCCCCTTTTTTCACAATTACATTAAAATAGCTCAATAATATCCTCTCCTGGGCATAATTGTCTGTCGGTCCTCATTAAAATTGCGTCTTAAATGATTCCGTGTTTGTCAAGAGAAGTAAACAATTTTTCTTTTTTGAATGCAGCGACAAGGGTTACAAAGGTGAAGTCCAAATCAATGGTTGCGTGCGCGACCAATCGTTATTCAACAAGCAGAGCTGCTACGTCATGCAGGATGACCGTCTACTACCTGCTCTCACCGTTTACGAGGCCATCTCTATGAGTGTACAGCTGCGCATGCCTACGTCGTCGCCGACAGCCAAAGAGGAAATGGTACGACTCCTCACCATCCAGCGTTCATAACCTGCTGCTCTGTTTAGTCACCGGACTGTTGGTGATAATGGGTGCTTATGTTGTGCACACTTACGTGTCATTGATTCAGCTTATACCGCTTGAGCGATTTGGCGGTAATACTTGGCTTGCTAGGCAACGCATTTTTTTTTTCCTCGCAGTATCGGGTTTACTTATACATTCGCTATACTCGAAATGGCCATCCTGAAAAGCGAAACGCTTCCTTAAAAGGGTATCTCGATGAAAAGATGGTGGGGGATACAAAAAACCACATCATGGCGTGGCGCGTAAGGTGTGCGTTCATTGGGTCCTTGCAGAGTTCAACATATCAAAAAAAAAAAAAAAAACGGCGTTCGCCTGAATCGGTCGAAAGTCACGTAACCACCACAATCTCGGTGGCGTTCACGTGACTGATGATGTTTTTCTTTCGCGAGTTTTCTTAAGTGAATACGCACAGTTTATAGAAAACATGTACGTAAGATGTCAAAGCAGCACCCACCAGCCAATTTCTTGAAAGCACACAGCCAATTTCTTGAAACTATATACATAGAAAAAAAGTACGTTTATATAGTAGGATGAGTCTTTGTAACGCATGTTAGAATGCGTGGCAGCAGCTCAGAATCACGCCAGGCATCTGGACATGTGGATTGCGCAACGTGTGGGTGTTTTAAACGTCCATCCATTACAAAGCGCTCAAAAATATTTAATCATCAGCTCCAAAACGATCAGCAAAAAGAACTGCTGCGTTTGTTCGCGGCTGCTTTGCTTAACAGACGCCGAGCACGTGGGCTGTTCACTGATTCTCAAAAAAAAAAAAGATGGTTGCGCATTGGACACATCGCAGCTGTGTTTGCACTTAGAGGCATCCCAGGATAGTTAGAAACGGACAATATCAAGCACACACACATTCGTTTTCTTGAGGCATGCAATTAGAACTAAGAATTTGACAAGGCGATGAGCACGGGAGCCGATTATGCTATTTCGTTCTACTACTGATGGCGAAGCTCAAGCGACCTCCACGTTTTCAGGCTAAGGCTATCAATTGCAGGCGTACAGAAATAAGTTGAGCAATGTTACTGTTTCTTTATCGTCGGAGAACAGGGCTGTTCGGCCGAGAACTGCGCTTTGAGATAAGTGGAAGTTGTAAAGGAACACGTCTACTTAGGACAGGTATACTAACCATGGAGCCAAACTATGAGGGTGATATATTTAAAGGAATAAGGATGGGATGAAGCCCATTGGGCAAGCATTTTCAAATCTTGCATGGTAGTCTGCCCCTATCTCTCAAAAGCAAGGTATATAACCGCTGCATTTTTGCCGGTACTTGACCTACGGAGCAGAAAACCTGGAGGCTTACTAAGATGGTTCGATCTAAATTGAGGACGACACAGCAAGCAATGGAAAGGAAAATGGTAGGTGTAACCCGAAAAGACAGGAAGAGACCAGGGTGGGTCAGGAAACGAACAGCGGTTAATAATATCATAGTTCAAATCAGGAAGGAGAATTGCACATGGAGAGGATACGTAGCTCATAAACGCAGGATAACCACTGGTCATTAAATGTAACTGACTGGATTCCTAGAGAAGTCAAACATGCGAAGCAGATACAGAAAGTTAGGTTGGCAGATGAGATTAAAAAGATTGCAGGTATAACGGAGCAGCAGAGAGCACAGAAACGATTCGGTTGGCGGAACATGGGAGGAGCCCTTTCCCTGCAGTGGTCTAGTTAGGCTCTCGACGACGATGATGATTGTTTATTCTTTCTGAGCCACAATCAGTTTTTTTTTAGTGTGCTATAACGCGAATTTGCCCATTAGCAGTGATATACGTAACTGCATTTTATTTTTGTCGACTGCCAATTCTTGTTGTGATGTGCTCGGATATTTATACATACGTGGTACACCTGTACAGAAAGCTTTTTATAAGAGTCGTCCGTCATTGTATTTCTCGTTGCTGTACGAACAGGTGCAACGGTCAATCGCAGAGTGGGGATTACATGAGTGCCGCAACACTCGAACGGAAAGCTTGTCGGGCGGCGAGCGCAAGCGGTTGGCTATTGCTCAAGAACTGGTCAATAACCCTCCTGTGTTGTTCCTTGACGAACCCACCAGGTGAGCGAATGACAACTTCATCCCGGTGTTCTCAACTGTGCAGCAGAAGTTATGGATGTGTGTGTATATAATAAGCTGCTATAAATAATGTTTTATGGCGACATCTACAAAGTTTGTTTTGCTTGTTTGAATACTGTCCGAGCAAGTACCTAGCCACCTAATATTACTGATGCTTGTTCTTGTCTGTAGTGCTGAAAATCCCTGAGGCTTGTGAATCGTGGCTTGTCTCTCCCTCCTTTTTCTCTCTCGGTTGCTCCTTCGTTCTTCTCTCTCGGTGTACAGCTTTTCTTAGAAAATTAGGAAAAGTTAGATCAACCCTTTTTATTTGTTTTCGTCATTATCCGTGTCTATTTTTTTTATTTAAATAGAAAATAAACGAAGGAGTTGGCGACGGTTGCACCTTTCCACTTGATTGTTGCAAATAAAGAATTAAAAAACAAAATAGCACAGATCCTTCCTCGCTGTGAGAATCTACGAAATGAGAAGAATTTTAAGATGTCGCACGCACACTTATTCGCACGTTGCCTAAATTCCACCATCAGTAAACCCTATCAGCACCGTTAAGCAAATGTTTTGATTTGAAGAACTCCACCTGTAACCACGGTGAATCAGCATCTGTCGTGGCGTGATTGATTTGCCTTTGCAGTGGCCTGGACAACGTGTCAAGCCTCATGTGCGTCCAAGTCCTCAAAACGATTGCCTCTTCAGGGCACACTGTGATCTGTTCTATTCACGCTCCTAGCGCCAAAATATTCTCCTACTTCGACTCGGTGAGTACTTTTGCCGAGTCCACAGATGAAGGCGGATAAACTGCTTATGACGTTGCGCTGCTGCTTGGAAGTGTTGCAGGTGCAATCGCGGATTAGAAGGGGACCGGTGATGATCGCCAGGTGTTTCGTCGTGAAGCTTGAGGTCGCGGGTTGGACTCCCGGCCACGGCGGCCGCATTTTGATCGGGGAACCCCAATGTTATGCTTAGGTCTTGCTCGTTGGAGTAAAATATGTTGTTTCGAATCACCGCCCAGATAACGAAAGACACCGTTGTAAATTTGTTTGCGCTAGTTTTGACCACTTTCATTTGACCATCAGCCCACTGTAGATTGCGGCGACGGCGGCGGGCAGTCTGCTGGCTTCACTGGAACTAGTCACAGCAGTTGGTACAACAAAAGAACAATAAAAAACAACGCACCACACAATAGCATTGTGATAGCATTGCAAGCTAAGGGAAAGCTGAATTATCTCACAGGATTTATTGTTGATTTGTTGCTATAAGCCACATTTTCGGTGCTTCAATTCAGCAAGTCAGCAATTGATGTTGGGAGGCTCTGTGATTGCGATGAGATGGAAGACGCCTAACGCTAAAAAGCATCCTGTGGGAAAAGCAGGGTGTAACCTTCACTCAAACCTAAGCAAGGGAACACTGATGACTAAGCCACTCCTGGGGTTCCGGAGCAGAAACTATTTAAAAATGCTCCTATTTACATAACCTAATGTTTTACTCTGCATGAATTGTGCTGTTTGTGACCTTCTGTGCAGCTGTACATGATGTCCGGTGGTCGGTGCATTTACAACGGCAGGGTTGACCTGCTGCTTCCGTTCCTCGCGCAGCGTGGCCTGCCCTGCCCCGAATATCACAATCCAGCCGATTACAGTAGGTGCAGAACACGGCCATATGGTCCATATCTTTGTTGGAATTTATTTATTTATTTATTTATTTATTTATTTAGTTATTTTATTCCCACGTCAGGTCAGCGTTCTCAGACCTCTGATCTCTCAAACATGCTGACAAGTTTCACGACGTTTCGTAAGTTTGTAATAATAGTATGCTGACCTAGCAGCGCGGGAGATGGCCGAAAAAGCTAGTGTGGGTGTCGCAACTCTTGCCATGTGCTGCCCCGATGCGCTTGAAGGCATCTGGTGTAGTTTCGTCCCGACACGGTGTAAACCATCCACGAACATTGCCACTGGCTGTATGAAAGTTGTTATACTCAACTGTTTAAAGCTTCCAGGTGCTTACCAGCATTCTATGAATGTTACTGACGTCCAATAATGTTAGTTAACGAGAAAATTGCTCATTTCAATAAAATATCGCATCTGTATTCCATTAGGTGTCTGCTTTTCACTCCTCCCGTGCTGTCAGATTGGGCTCGATATCCCACGTCGCAACCGGATCAATTCATTTCCTTTCTCAATCAGCCTGTCTTCGCGAATGAGTAGAGAAAATGTTCGTTTGATCTTGTTCTTTCTTTTGCAGTGTCTGAGCTAGCTTCGGACGAGCACAGCGACTACTGCGAAAGGCTAAGCACCGAGTTTCGGATTCCACTTCCCTGCGCCGAACGGGTCTTCGACGACGACAGCCAAACCACTGCTTATGGTGGTAAGGTCATGACGGAACAGGCGAGTGATTTTAATAAATGCGTAACAGTGATTCCTGTGCATCTGACACTTGAAATAAATATTATGCACACATATGGAGGAGGATGTTGTAAGTTGCAGGTGGATCATACCTTGAGAGATTCGCCGGCAGTTTACGCACCCGATTTCTACATTTAAGGTTATTTTGATCAATACAGCTCTTTCTCTTTTCTTTTTTCTTTTTTAAAGCGAAGCGCGGGCAGGGTACAGCGAAAGCACGCCCAGCGCGACGCAACAATGACCTCTCTCATGAGTGAACGTTGCACTAGATCACGTTTGACATCTCACTTCTTTGCGGCCTTTTAATCATCCGTAGTGGCCAAAAGCACGACGAGAAATTTTATTTCAGAGTTTATCAACTTATGCGACCGCGTACGTAACTGCCACCGCAGCTTTCACTTCGTTCATGTGATCTAGGGCATGACAAAGTTCTTCTAACGGCCCATTCAACCCCACATGCGTTCGAACGACTCCAGCGTTAAACTTCGTTTTCATGCGGTATAGCACACATACGCGGTCACACTTGACGCTATAGCGCGCTGCCGCCCGTGCGAGCGCCTGTGCGCAGCGCTGGTGTAGCGGTTGCGGGGCTCGGCAGCTGACACAAAGGTCGCGAGTTCGATCCCCGTCGTGGTGGTCACATTTCGACGAAACGAAATGGTAGAGGCCTGCGGCTGTGCGATGTGAGTGCACATTAAAGAATGCCAGGTGGCCGACATTTTCGGAGCGTCTCTCATCTAAGGCGTCTCTCATAATCACATTGCGTTTTGGGGACGGGAAACCTCAGATATTAATAAAACATTTTTTCATAACGTGGTCATTGCTTTATATGATGTAAATGTTTTCTATATTTTCCATACAGACATTTCGCTACATTCGGAGAAAATGTGTTTGTGTTTCCCGTTTTACTTAAGGGGGCAATGTCAAGTTATTATTTGGAGTGACGTGTTAAACAAGCGAAAAAAATGTGTATTATGAAAGTATGTTTACGTGTTGCATATGCAGTTCCTACAAAGCATTTTTCACTGCGTTTCTTTTTCTCTTAGGAAAGAGCAGAGCAGCATCGCATGTACTCGTTTAAAGTCGACCAGTTCCAGCAGTTTCGGACGCTGCTGAAGAGATGCTGGTTGTCCATCGTCCGAAACAAGGTACGTATTTGGAAGCTTTGTAATTAGTATAGAGTGCTCTTCTCCCCCCCCCCTCCCCGGTTAATCTATTTCAGTATAGGCATTACTCAGGTTACGTTGGCTGAAACATTGCTGTATCACACTGAATGTCACAGCTGGTAAAGATTTTGTGTGGGTTTATTTTTTTAATATATCCAACTTTTACGCCGGGAGGGATAAAATAACGAAAAAGATATCCTTTTTACTTATACAATTCAGCACAAAATATGCTCACTTCTCTGACTAGGCACGTTTTAGCAGGAGGCTAATATTAGTGGTAAAGGAAAATGTTGCCGTCCATCGGCATATATATGTAATCAAAGTTACGAGAAAAATTGTCACGAATTTTTCAACAGAAGGCATCATACTTGTCAAGAAGAATTAGTTCTACGGATTTTCGCAGAATCTATACTGCCATGCTTTAAATAGACAAATAATTTTGGAGTACTGGTTTCAAAATTTAGATGACGACAATTTTTTTTTCGATAGCAAAGCTTTCTATCTTAAAGAAAATTTATTTGCAGCTTTATGCTACACTCAGGTCAGTGACATTTTTTTCCCCGTTTAGTATTAGTGAGATGATACGGTTTTTCCATGATATGATATATGATCCTTCATGCTAATTGCGATCGTTCTAGTGCTACTCGCCTGTAATATATCATCAATTGCAGTGATATAATCCTTACCCTGGTATTTTCTTGCGTTGAGCACTAACGGAATCTTAACACGTGTGTTCGAGTAATGTACGTTTTTACTACAAGGACGCTTGTAAATGTCTTGAAGGAAAGCGTTTCCTGTAAAGACTAACCAATGTTTTTGAATGTCTCGTAGAATCTCTCGAAACAATATGATAAACACGTGGTCAGTGTATGGCACTAGAAAACTCAACAAAGCATGTCCAATTGATCCAACTGTTGATGGGAAAGAAGTATTATATTGTTGTCGTTGTTTAATGCCTCTAATAACTAGCATGTTATAACACCACTGTCTACTTGGTTGCCAATCAAGCTATAGCAGGTTTAAAAAAGGCGCTCAAATGTCATCCTTTACGGAGCATCTTCAGAAGGGATAAGGAGAGTGCAAGTATATCGCAAAGATTTGTATATGGTGATATTCAATTAACAGCGAAGAAATGCGTGAAGCTTAACCGGACGCACATCCATTTGCCAACCTGTACATGGAGATAAAGGTAATGGGATGAAAATAGACAGGGAAAGAGCAGTAATCACAAGCTCTATTCGAGGAGCTCATGTAAAAAAAAATGCAGCCACTCGCAAAAACCCCGTGAACTTATAGGTACACAGAGCAGCACCTTGATTGGCCCCTGTGCCATCAACGCTCACGGCCGTGGCCCCATCATCTCGATTTCCAATAACGGCCTCCGCTAAGTCGGTTTGCGGCTACATTACGCTGGTATCACTGGACTATACTTTAAAGTTGGTAACACGTAGGATGTGTTCGATGGTGGCTTCCATTCCACAGTGGTGGCTGGCGCCCTATAGTCATATCGTTGAGAAACGAGTTTCCTTGGTCGGCAGGATCTAATTCATCTGTGGACGTCAGTATTACGTGCTCGTATGCGTGATACCGCCACGTCATACCGTGATACGGCACCTTATGAGTGACACAGCCTGTTATACACTGAACCACACGCGCCGATGTAATATTGGTTAATTTGTGTTGCCCACGTTTTTTTTTTGTATGTGTGTGTTGCCAGACGTTTAATGCACTGTGATAACAATAGGTTACCTTGACAGTGCCCCGACTGTGTTCCCGTAGGTGGCGACCGTGCTGCGAGTGCTGGTGTATGCGGCGTTTGCGGTGATGTCCATCGTCCTTTTCTATGACACGGGCAACCGCGCCTCCACGGTCGTGCACAGCGTCAAGCTCTACTTCGTCGTGGTCTGCATTTGCGTCGTCCAGACCGTGTTTCCTTCGACTCTAGTGTGTGCGTATTTATCACCGCATAACAGAAAAAACTTCAAATCAATGACATTTTTCTGGCTAGCTTCGTGGGACAACCGGTGTCGACGTAAAAATTTATTCATGCGATTGGGATAACCCTCCTTGCGGGTGATAGCCAGCCTGATCTCTATTATTCAATCGCTAGCTCACCATACAAAGGTTGATTAATTTGTAAAACAGATGCCCATGGGCAGGCAGATCGGTGCTGTGGCCCGATACTACTGCAGGCTCCTTCTCGAACGTGCTTTGTTTGCACGCGAGAGAGTTGTGCATTCGCTGATATGTGCGTTTAAAGCGTGTGTCGAGATATATAGTTCCTATAATGATCGATATGTGTGTGTCAGTGTATGTGCCAGTGTGTGCGTTGCTAAAGAAAAAGAAAACTGAGGGAGAGAGGCAGGACAGCGAGTTCACTCTGCTGTTATGTCTATAAAAAATAAATACCTAAAACAGCTGCACTTAAGCTATGCTCCTAATGTTGTATACTCAACGACTATGTTTGGTATGTTCTTTTGTTCTTTACAGTTCCTGTGGAGGTCTCTGTGTTAGTCAGGGAGCAGCGAAATTGCTGGTATGGTCTCAAGCGTACTGCCTGGCGTACTACATCGCAGAACTGCCGTTTCTAGTGAGTCGGAACTGTTCTGCGCAGTCTCACTCTTCTTTTAATTATTTTCGTACCATCATCTGCCATACAACGAACGAGCTTATATACCATCTATCTTGGGCTACGCTCGCAATCCGAGACATTGTGAAACTACCGAATCAGCCTATCTCATTTCGGACTGCAGCTCCGTCAAACTATCTTTTATATAACCTGCGACTCGTCATTGTCTATGCAGCCGATTTCACTTTCATCGCACTATGCCGTCTACACACATCGCACTATCTTGCCGTCATACACACATAACACTGTTTCAGAATCTTACAACAAGAATAGGGAGTCAATGTGTATGAACAGGAACGTCCACTTCATTAATTAGACACTTCACCTCATTCGTTGCTGCTCACTTCCGACGAGATTGTGAATTCGAAAAAAAAAACGTAAAAGAAGCGGTACTATATCGTACTGCGCTTTAAAGATTCGCAGGGACTCACTTAGATACTGAAGTTTACGAAGAACCGATCGTTAAGCGTGTTGGTATTCCATTGTGGATGTCATTTTGCGCATAAAAAATAACCTGCAAGAGGTAAGAGAGCACCGACAGGCGCAGAACTCTGTCCGTGCTCTCTTCCTTGTTGTCCGTGTTTTTTTTTTTTTTCTACGCAAAATGCAATCCACGAGTTTACGAAGCCTATTACCAGCCTTGAGTTAGTTATATCAGATATTTTTGCGAAAGTCACTAACTCAACTGACTAAAATGGCAGGATCTTAGCTTTTCTCTCGCTCCTATCCTGTAGAGAAAAGGAACTAGAACGTATGTCCCCGTCATATCTTCAGTGTCTCGGTATCACCGCTCTGCCAAAATACCACCCTATCAGGCATTCCTACCCGTCTGTTTTTGAACGTGAAGCCCTTTTCTTCAACTCACGCACTGGGTGTATGGCTGGCGAAGCTTTTAATTATTAAGAGACGCGACTAGTACGCAATGGGCTCCTAGCCACGGTGGGACTGGTAAGAATTGTTTTCATTTTCTTAAGTTTCTCAAAATGAAGTTTGCATATATTTTCTCAAGTTTCCAAGAGGTTCCTGGTGCGGTGGCTGCAGGTTCTTCCAATTACGCTGTACATGGGTGCCATCTATTACCCGACGGCGCAACCGCAGGAGCTCTGGCGCTTTGCCGCAATGCTACTATTCACCATACAGCTGTGCGGCGTTTCACAAGCCATTGCGCTCGCCACGTCAGCGCTCTGCACTGCGCAGGTAAGTGCCTCTACGCGGTTACACTTGTTAGGGTAAAAATCCCTGTCTGGCTCGGGCGAAAAATTCGACGTCTGGCATAACTGAACATCTCAGTCACGTGATGGCGTCGTCGTAAGAATCGAAGAAAACTTGGCAGGAGGTGGTGGTGGTTATGGCCTCTGCATTAACAGCAACAAGAGAGAAATAAATAAAAGGAAGAGACAGGGAGGTTAACCTAGACGAACTGGTTTGCTACCCTGTACGGGGGTGGGGAAAAGGGTCGAAAAGAGGATAGAAATAGAGAGATAAAAAATAAATTAGAAAAAAAACCACAGCTTTGCGGAACGAAATGCACTCGAAGCGGCAACAGCAACAACAACAAAAAAAATCATGAAGGCTATGTGCATGCAGACGGCCATTTGCAGGGTGTCGGGTTTGATGGCTGTATACCCACACCTAGTGGTTTTAAAGAGGTATACTGATACAAAAGTTCTGGCCTCGCGTTTTCTCGATGCAGTGCATCAGTAGAAGCCTGTTAGTCATAACACGACACATCGTTTGCTGCAGCGCACGACAGGTAATTAATTACGGGCTCCTCATTAACGACCAATATGAGTTTTGGTTTGAGAGAGCTCCGAAAATTGCAAGCCACCGGGTGCATCTATATCGCCGTATGGCATGTGCAATGCTCAATCTTGTCAGCACACAAAAGTGTGACTATAGTGTACTGGAATATTCTAGTAGACGAACTTCCACACGATTCCATCGCACAGGAAACGGAACAGCAGTGTCGCCAAACACTAAAAGTACAAAGCGTAAGCCTCCGCGATACTCTCTCCAGCAGCCGCCCAGTAGTATACGCTTCAGAAAATGCGACAAAAATAAGAATTGCGTCTATGTATGTCCTCATCATAACTTGTTGCATTGAATGCATGCTACGTGGTGACGTGAGGGAAGTACGAGGGTCACCGTGGGTCACTTTGCTCGATACCGCACGCAAACTTCAAAGCTGATGTAAAAATTGGGGGAACCTTAATATCCGCCTTTATTATTTCAACCGATAGCGATATTAGGTTACTATAGTGCGCTCTTCAAACACTTAGTGTATGAAATCTTTTCGTACTTTTTATGCATTCTGTATACGTAGCCTTAAGGGTGCAGTAGCGTGTGTGCCTTTCGTAGTGGGTGACTGGCTTTAAACGTTGAAGTCACTATGGCAATCCCAACTTCGGACGCCCGATGGCAATGTACGCCTGTATCACGCATGATTACTGCAATAGTTCATGCTGTATTGTGAAGCATGTATGCAGGACGCGTGTGTTTGGTAAAGCGTTAAAGTTACTTTCACTTCATTTCCAAGCAGAGGAAGTTATTTTCACTTTATTCACAAGCATAAGTGTGGCTTTGTTATAGAACGCCCGCTTGATTGCCAAGCAAACGACCAAGGTTCAAACCTCACAAATAAAATGAATTATTTATTTTTTTTCTGAATTTTTATGTCACGAAAAGATTATTTTTCTCTCACAACCAATGACGCCGATGCCGACGCCAGAATTCATGCTAAACGAGTTCTTTAACGCCATCTCGTTAAAGTATACCTTCGAACTTGTGTTGGCTGTTGATATTTTGCAGATATACGCATGGTCATGGGAATTTATCCTGCCATTATTGCGGGCGCAAAATTTGAGTGTACTTCTTTTATGAATCGGCGCTTAGGCTTGCGCCTTCAAGTACCGTTAACAATATTCTAAACAACTCCGTGGATTTTTTTTCAGGGGCGAGGTTTGAACGATTAGGTATGAAAAATAAGTATTCGCCGGAATTATTACGAGATAATACGACACAAATGTGCAAAAACTGAGAGAAAGGTCTTATCATGACGGAGAACAAATAATTTATGCATATAGAAGTGCACAGCGGCAAGATTTGAATGACTGTCACGGGGTGGAACATATCAGACCATTAGAGTATACAAGGGCTTCGACTTGGTGCATTCCTGAATGCTCCATTTTCCCGCTAGATGAAACAATCTCAGTTATGAGTTTCGTGGTTTGGAAGTTAAAAAAAATTGAGGTGTAATAAAATGGAAGCGTGACTATTTTAACAGCCACACCTTTCTGCTTCCAAGCGCACTGCTAAAAAAACGGCTGCGGAAGATCAGCGTTGCGAAACAAATTCACTCGAAGACGGGGCTGAATTTCAATGCTAATAGAAGTGAGAGCTTTGCTTTTCCCCCCTTCTTCCTGTACATGTACAATTTTCTTCACTGTAAAGCAGAAAAGTTTGTTTTTTACGCTCAACAATTTGTAAAACTATGCCGACTGCAATGTATGCAGTGACAGAGGGTTTTGTTGTGCCACCGGCATCACATGGCCCTTGCAATCGTCATGAAATTGTGACAGTTCGAGAACTCTTCGAACCAACATTCTTGCGTGCCGTTGGATCTCCCTTATTCTATTCCCTTCTCTGTGCACGGGCACTGTGCGTAAGGACGTACTAAAACAGCGGTATTTTTACGAGGAACGCCGTCATGGGGTAGACAGGATTAACCCGGATGACATGGAGTTTCTTAACGTGCACATAACAATTATGTACACGTGTGTTCTTTGCATTGGGCTCCAATAGAGATGCGGGCGCTGTTAGACGGAGTCGAACGGGTGTCCTCAATGTTAGCAGCGCGACTCCTTAACTACTAAGCTACCATAAGGAGTAATTGAACTGACGTGCTTAATCGCCTAATGTAAAAGTTCAATTATTACGAAAATTGTGCACCCGCAGCACTCGACGCAACCTAAAGAAATGACAAACTAGCTCGGGCGCTATGTTGACCCCATGCCATATAAAAAAAACGCATCATAATTACTAGCCAATTGTTTATAGATACTCCTTATGCTTTACCGTAAAAATTAAGACATCAAAAATTGACGCACCTTGCTTACCCCGACATAAATATACGTTGCGGCTTCCTTGTAAGAATTTAAAGACACTGAGCAGAAACAATAAATCGGTTCAGGTTGATAAAACTGTTTTCTAAGAACCCTGAAGCTTATTTTTTATGTAGAATAAAATCAAGGTGTCAGTTCCACTTTTAAATGATATTCCGAAAACTCCGTGCTCGATGTCAGGTATTTTATTGTTCGTAATTTGTGAACATTGGCTCAATGAAATTCTCTTGAAACTTGTGGCCGCCGCAGCATAGAGAGCTTGTTTCTTTCTCTATGGCCGCAGAGGACGACGATCCTCACTTGTTTCAATTAATAGCTACGAAACCCCAAGTATATAGGCTATTTATAACATCCTATAGCATTTGTCCCTGGAATTATGCGGTGGCGTTGCTACTGCAGCATTTTCGTTTTGCATGTTTTCCCGTCTTCTGTCTTATCGCGACAAGAGCGTGGTCAGCATTTCGCAAGCGTATTGTTCCCTCCTCGTGTTCGTGGATTGACTCGTCGTCACAGAGGCCTGTTGTTGTATGCGCTAAGGGTTCGCTCCGTATCAGTGGCCCAACAATTATATCGTCCGGGACGTGCGGACAGTCCGTTATGTTCGTCGTGTGGCTCCCGTGATGAGCCAATAGACCACATAATTTTAGAGTGTCCCACGTTCGCAGTGCAGCCAGCACTGCTCACAATGGAACGTGGACTTATTGCACTTAGATGCACGGCCCTTGACGATTACCTGTTGCCACGAAGATGTGCTATATACGTGTGACCAGGCCCATTGAGCCCTGCTAACTTTCTTAAAGAAACCCGATTTGGCCACGCGTTTATAGACATTTTTCTCAAGTGACTATTTATTTGTGTTTACGTGTGCTCTTTTGTTTTATTTGTTTTATTTCCTCTTCTCTTTCCTTTTTTTTTTCTTTCGTACTGCCTTCCTTTGCTCTATGTCTTCCCTTCCCGAAGGAGCAGGCAGGCATTGCGGCCCTGTCGGTGGCAGTTGTCAACCTGTTCCCACCGTATTTCCTGTGTCCTTGCATCTTATGTGTATACGAACATACTACTACTACTACTACTACTACTACTACTACTACTACTACTACTACTACTACTACTACTACTACTGATAATAATAATAATAATAATAATAATAATAATAATAATAATAATAATAATAATAATAATAATAATAATAATAATAATAATAATAATAATAATAATAATAATAATACGAAGGCGAAATGTACTAAATGGGAGAAACATATTTCTCTTTAGTGTTTTCTAAAAGTAAAGCTAAATCTACTTTTCAATTTACACACATACCTACTACAGTGAACTAACATGTACTCATCCTGTGTTTTTTGTCTTCGTTTTATTTTTTCTCCGCAGTCAGCGGCAACGGTGGCGTTTCCCATCGTGTCACCCGCGTTCATGTTCTGCAGCGCTTTCGCGCCTCGTCAGATGCTTACTCCCTACGTGGGCTGGCTCACAGAGGTGTCGTTCGTCAACCACGCTTACAACGGCCTCCTGCTCTCGGCCTACGGCTACGGCCGCGCCAAGTTTCCCTGCAGCGACTTCATATGCGTGTACGAGGACCCGGCCGAGCTTCTCCAGAGCGCCGGAGTGGCAGACCGGACGATCCACGAGTTCTACCTCATCCTCCTCGCTATGGAAGTTGTGATTCGCATTGTCGGATTCTTTCTGCTCAGGTTCAGGCTATCGAGAAAGAGTTGATGGAATACACTCTTAGTGGGCACTGGTCATCAAATATGGACAAGCCGTGAAAAGAGTTTACATATTCGGCTTTCCAGTAATTTTTTTTTCGGCTGGGAAGAACGAAAAACCATACTGTCCCAGCAATGTGCGATAGTGCTACTCCGTGGCACACTAGTCAATATAGTCGGCTTGTTACGGCGCTGCCAACTATGGGCGCATTTTTGGCGGCAGCATTCGACCGTGCTCTTGGTGAAGCGATGGAAATGGTTAGGGTAGATACGAGAGTAATAAGGTCAGGGGTAATGTGACTTGGCCTTCCGGGACACTCGCTACCAGTGACGTCAGCGACAAGCTCTTGGTCATTCAAGCAACGTGCCTGCAAATAGTCTTTCACGCGATCATTTTATTTCATTCCGTAGATAATGCCTTGGGAGAATCGATTCAAATGAGTTTTTGTACAAATAGACTAAGGTTCCCAGTGTTCAGATGCTTGAGAAATAGTACCTATTAAAACATGTAACTTATTGTTCCTCACATTTCGTAGGTATGTTCTGTAGTATGAAGTGCAGTAAGTTGTCAGTCTTTTGATGCGAGTTGGAAGAGACAAACTTTGTAATTAACTGTGTTGAAAAGGTTTAGAGCCAATGTCGCAATTTAAACTGCCAGACAAATAAAAGTTTAGAGAATGTTACATTAGCGGCAGCAGTAGCGTATCACAAAGAACGCAAAACAAAACAAAGGAACGTCTCTTTAACACTTGGCAGGTCTGTGTTTATACGCACGTTACCAGTGTGTATTTCGTAGCTACCACAACACACCGGAAGCAGCATGCCAGTTATTCCGAGACAGTCAAACATCTCCAGTTTCTTTATACTGGGCATAGGCGCGACAATGAAAAGATTACCCATTTTGATAATTTTTTTTTTCATTTTTGTGATGTCAAACTTACTATGCAAAAAGAAACGGGTGTACAAGAATCATTTTTTTCCTTTTCGTTCAAAGTAACATTTCAATGTTCTACGAATTTTCATAAGAAAAGGTTTTGTTTATTTATCAAGGAATGATAGGCGAGCAGTAAAGATAATCTCGGTGTTGCAGGGTCAGAGAAGAAAATTAAGCAGCCCGAGGAGAAGGGTTATTACTGTTCCCAAGCGGCGCTAATGTCACGTTGATCACAAAGGAGCAATGTGGTGGCATTTATCATAATCATATGGTGGTTTTGGGACGTTCAACCGCACATATAAATCAACAAAGGAGCGAGGAGGACGAGATGTGAAGCAGCCTTCAAGTGGGCCTCTTCCACTTATTCATCTTTCATTGGCTCCTCGAAAATTGCCGTAGGTACCTGAAAATTCGCTCGAATAGGACACACAGCGAGACGGTACTGACGCCACGTACCCGCTTAAATGGCTCAACAACGTTATGTGGCCAAGGGGTCACTAAACTGCGGCGACGGCTGGACAAGGCAAAGGAGTTGAGCGTATGCACAGCACTCAGCAGCAGATGGACCCACCATCATCAACGGCGGCTGCTAACAAGTAGAAACAATTTGTCAATGAGGTCTGGTGTCTGTTGTTACTGTCGTGCATTCACCATCGACGACCTAGGAATGAATAAATTATCATGATCAATTGCTGCACTAAAAATTTTTGCCTTTAATCTTTACAAACATAAAAACCAAGATGATGTTCATACCCTATTAACAAACGTCATTAAAAGGGGGGGGGGAGTGATTTTAAAAAGAAAAGAGAAAAGGGAGCCCCGTAACTGTCTCTCAAGGGGAGGACACCTTAGCAGTAGCTCACGAGGGATGGGGGTAAGGAGGAATTAAAAGGATAGGATTAAAATGTATATATAGAGAGAGGAAGGAGAGAGCGAGGTGCAGGGACAACGAGCGACGGAAGTAAGGAGAAGACAGGAAAGATGGACACAGTTGCAGGAGTCCGAGGACGGGGCACCACTGGCGAGAGCTCTTGTCGGCGACAGGAGATGGCGCAGGGCTAATCCAGTCGGCCAGAGCTACGCTGTCGTCGTCGTCTGGGACCGGCGTCAGGAGGTGGCGTAGGACCAACCCAGTCGGTCAGAGCTGCACTGTCGTCGGAGATCGAGAGGGCACAACCGGTTGCCACAGAATCCAGCGAGCGAGTCGTCATTAAAAGGTGGCTGTGCAGTGCTTTTTCTACTGCCTCCTGAAGCACAGCAGCGTGCGTATGAAAGAATGCCGAATTGAAAGCGATAAACAACAATCAAAAAGAACTGCAGTTATTGTTTCACAATTAAAACGCGAGTAGTCAATGAAAGATAAAATACATATACACAAGATCTTCCTTGAAGGTTTTCTTGAAGTAATGCGTAAGCGGAGAGTTTTGGCGTACGTTGTAGGCATTTGTAGCACGCTATTTGGTACGTCTTCGTGATTTTAACGTCCTGGACGTGCATCTCGCGACCACTGAAATGCGTGTTTAGTATCGCTTCTTTTGAGAGATCGAAATTCGCCCTATGCGTGTAATACTCATTGCCAGCTTTACACCTTGTCTTACAAAATGCTCTTATCTGCTGCTACTAAATTCAACGTGGCTTTCACAGAAAGTGTTCTTTTCTTACACTTGACTCCGCGGCCTCAGCGCATTCTTATGATATTCAAATATATTGACATTCTGCAAGCGTGGGTGTCTAACCCAGTGTTGTGGCTTCCAGAAAGGTATGAAACGTGCATCACACGCTGAAAACGACTTTAAGTGAGGCAGATAACCTGAACGCTTCATCGTATAGTAGCACAGTGTTGCGAAGACTCGGTCTGAATCTTAACGGATATGTATTCGCTTTTCCTTGCATGTTACATACTGTATTGGAGATTAAAAGAATCGCAGCATATCCACGGAGTGATTGATGATGAGTGTGGCGAAGTGTCTGTCTGTCTGTCTGTCTGTCTGTCTGTCTGTCTGTCTGTCTGTCTGTCTGTCTGTCTGTCTGTCTGTCTGTCTGTCTGTCTGTCTGTCTGTCTGTCTGTCTGTCTGTCTGTCTGTCTGTCTGTCTGTCTGTCTGTCTGTCTGTCTGTCTGTCTGTCTGTCTGTCTGTCTGTCTGTCTGTCTGTCTGTCTGTCTGTCTGTCTGTCTGTCAACTATACCAAAAGCACTAACGCCATCTAGTGACAATATTTTTAGGGCATAAACAACAACGCCATCTACGAGCAATTCATAAACTAGAGATACTACTACTACTACTACTACTACTACTACTACTACTACTACTACTACTACTACTACTACTACTACTACTGAGGAGGGAACAACCCTCAATATTAGGAGCTTCTCCCTTAAAGAGTGCGTGTGTAGCCCAGAGGTTGAGACACTTGCCTTTGATGCGCGGGGACCTGCGTTTAAACTGAGTCCATGCAGAAACGTGATTTTTTACTATTCCTTTATTCTTCATGATGATGGTCGTCTTACGTGACAAGGAACAGACATGCGGATACACAGTTTGTCTATCAGAATTCGTGTAGAAATGCTTGCACACTTAAAATACCAAGGCCATGTGAAACTTAGCACAAGCATAAGAAACGGCATTATATAGCCCACTTTAGATCCCGCAAATGTCAACTGCAAGTATATTTGCAAAGTACCACTACGCGATAAATAACGATATTGTCAGGCGGTGAAGCGCTCACTAAGCCACAGAGTAAATGCGCAGACGACGAGGACACAGAAGCGGCTGAACATGCACGAGCGGTGTGTGCGACGAAGTGGTTGCATCTATCAAGTCTCTTCTCTGTTCTCGTCTTCTGCGCATTAACCTTGCGTCATGTTCCACCAAGAATCCCAGAACCCACGCTGTCATGACTACGCGTATTCAAGGCAATGCATGTATCTGCGTAGCGGCACACTTGGTGGAGGCTGTAGCTGATTGGGACTGTGACTAAATAAGGCTAAGCCTTTTGTGATGGCAACATGAAACCACCCATTCGTTACGCAATTCTCACTGTGTGACGGCTGGTGATATTCTACTGTTTTGCAACGCATTATTTGCAAAACTATTTACATCACTCCTTTCACACCGAGCGTCCTGTATAGTATGTTCATTTGATGAAGTATGAAGCGCTGGCGTGACTTTCAAGCACTGTGAAATAGCGATATTTATGCAACGCCAAGCAAGACCCTCCTTGTCAATAAAATTTTGTTGCGCAGCTGTGTCGTTTTACGTGACGATTCTGTTCGAGTCACGTGGCTCTCCCGCAAGTGACGAAGACCGGAAGTTCCGGTACTGTGTTCATTAGAATGTGGAAACACTCTACTAACGAACACAGAGCATGCGTGACAAATGACGTTGACTATATTTGAAAGCTCCATCTGTGTAGTGCGAGCTCAGTGTCGTTAAAGTTTTTTTTTCTGGTTTCAATGATCCATACCGCATAATCAATACAACACGTGTGCACAAAGCAAAGAAAACTATTTGCACGCTTTCCAGGTGCCCTACACGTTTCACAGTCTTTACCTGCTCGATGGCTAGGATAATGTATTGGCACACGCTCGCAGCACACGCGCGCGATACACGAGGAAGTTGGCCGCAAACCAGCCCATTCACTCCTAGAGTGCTCCTTCTTAGCTTTCACTCCTTCCTGGAAAGCCTCATTTTGAGCAGGACAAAAGCTGTCAGCCTGGCTGCTGCCTCGAACGCGAGCAAAATGAGACTCAACACGTGTATCTCCTTGTCCGCAGCGCCGACCTGCTCCAAGAAGTGCGCCGGGTCTTCGTATAGGCAGATGAAGTCGTCGCACTCGAGGGGTTCACGACCGTATCCGTATATCGACAGGATGAGGCCGTTGAAGGCGTAATTCATGTACGACGCATCCGACATCCACCGTACGTACGGGCTGAGGAGGTGTGCCGGCACGAAGAAGCCGCAGAAGAAATAGGCCGGTGACACCACAGGCAGGACCATGAACACTGCAGTCTATTCATGGAACGAGAAACAAGAGGGGGCTTGCTGACTGCGAGAGGATAGGATGTTTGCCAAATCATCAAGTGTGCCACACTATAGGTTCAGTTAGATACAGCTGACTTCACGTCATTCTAATGACAGCGGCTATTGACCAGCAGATAATTTATAACGATTCGATCCCGTAAATTTAATAAATGTGAGCGTACTGACTTATATATAGGGTAAGTATTAAAGTGAACGTGCGAGAGGACTAAACTGTTATGCTTACTTGGTACTTACAAATTAAGGGATGTTGTGAATGAATGCGAACCTAATAACCATAATTCTGTTTGCCCTGCCTCATAATGGCTCATAACTAAAACTCAGAACTTCCATTACTTGTCGAATTGTATTTGCGTGTCTTTTATCTAATAGTCATGTCTGACGCTTGCGCTACGGACCTTGAAAGAAGGTGGTGACTGACAGGTAATTTTTTATTTGCACATGTCGTGTAGCTTGCGTGATCGTCTGATTGGCTCAGCAAGGAAGATTACAGCCTGTCATTCATTTTCATTTGTCTACATTTTGTGTACTCTTAATTGTGCTACCGCGATTTCAGTGGTACGTTCGTCGCATCTGCAGAATGTGCACGTTTTTTTCGGTCAATGTGTCATCTTACCTGAAGCTTCGAGACTGCGGACACGATGAGAGCCAAGGCCTGCGACACCGAGCAAATCTGGACGCTGAACAGCAGCAAGCAAGCAACGCGCCAGAGCTCTAAGGGCTGACCCGTCGGGTAATAGACGATGCCTATCAACAGAGCTATGGGCAAGACCTGAGCAAGAACAGAGTAGAAAAAGAAAGACCACAGAAACGTAAATACACACTGCAGATCACGCAAAATGCTACGGGAAATGCACTTATTTTGAATCTCAATCGCAAATGGCGAAGTACTTTTCAAGCATCATTTTATTGTTTTTCATTCACTCTTTTTCTTTGTAGAATAGACAAGCTCTAATCAACAAAAAATGCCATTTATTGCTCTAATCTAAGCTCTAATCACCAATGCTCTAATAAGGTTTAATCACCAAGAGATGCCTACTATTGGCAACTTTGTAGACACGGTGTGCCAAAACAGAATGGCACGTCAAGATTTCTGTCGTCGCAGTAGTTGAGCGTCTTACTGAAAGTCACAGTTCTTAGTTGCGAACAAACTGATGTTCTAACCTGTCCATGCAACTGGTAAGACAATTAAAATATCAGCCATGCTTTTAGACGCTATGATGATTGAGTGATTAAAGCAGGTACCAAAAGTGCACAAACAGCAACAGATTCTGTACATATAGAATTACTTGGATGCATCGAAGGAGTCACGCATGACATCGTATACAGCGTGCACAAGCTGCAAGCGGGCAACGCCTGTAGAGAGGCGTAGTACGAAATTCACCTACTGGCGTTCAATGCTACTAACACTCAATGCTACCTTAGTATTCAGCAGTACGATTTTCTTACTCACCAGGAAAGGAATCTCGGCAATGTAGTTTGCCAGGTAGTAAACGTGCAGACTGTACCAGCAGTTGCGCTGTTCTCTTCCCAGGACTAATACTTCTAGTGGGACTGTAAAAATACGAAAAAGAAGCGTACGTCGTCGCAAAGGTTTGTGTTTTTATAGCTGGCTACAAATACCCATGCGACTCGAAACAAGACGCCCTTGCATCAACGAGCACACGTCCTCAATGGTTGACACGCTGCCATGAAACATTAGGACTTTTCTGACGCCTACCCAGGCTACAAAAACATGCACCCCCTGTTCCAGACTGAAACTGGCTCGAAATCTTTGTTTTTTACAGTGAAGCTGCTATCCTTTTCGTTATGCCATCACGCGTTCTCAAAAGCTATCATAGTCCTGAATGACTTCTACCTTTCCAACTCGACTTGTTTGTTTGTTTGTTTGTTTGTTTTTCTTTCTACTTCATGATCCGCACCACTCTGGGGAATTTGGCGGAAAATGCATATAGTTGGCAATTTAAAAAGGTTATTCGAAGAATGTTGAATGCGCGCTCTCTTCATTCCCACCCGCAGGTCGCGGAATCAAACCCCGGCCTTGGTGGCTGCGTTTCCGATGGAGGCGGAAATGTTGTAGGCCCATGTACTTAGATTTGGGTGCACGTTAAAGAACCCCAGGTGGTCGAAATTTCCGGAGCCCTCCAGTACGGCGTCTTTCATAATCATGTGGTGGTTTTTGGACGTTGAACCCCACAAATCAATCAATCTCTTCATTCCCTTCCTAATGTTCTGCTTATCTCCCCAAAGGTGTGCGCACCAGCGTCTGCTCTCCCACTGCGCCGATTTGTTTGGCGTGAGATGCAATAACTCGGGTTTGTGACAGAACGAGTACAGAGATAGAGATAGAAAGAGAAACAAATAGGTATAAACAAAGAAAGAGAGATAGAGAGGGAAGAGAAAACGGATGAACGAGAAAAAAGTATAAAGTGAGTGAGAAAAAGATAAAAAATAGAGGTAAGAAAGAAGAAATACAAGTAAAGACACAATGAATAAATATAAAAAAACAGAGAAATAAGAAGCAAGAAAGGCCTCCGAGCTCCATTGTACATTCAGGTTTTGCACCACTATAGTGAGCAGGTGCCGCAATTTTTTGTTTGCATGTCTTTGGCTGTGTAGCAAAGGTAATTTTCTACGTAAGCTCTAGAACAAATGCTACGTGGCAATTACAATCACTTGATCGTCGCATCACACCTTTATGATAGAACACACGGTGTTTCTCAATATATAACACTTACAATTTATTCTACATGCAGCTACGTGGCTGATCACTGTTGATGATTTGACTGATGATTACGATGATGAATCCACGACGGAAATTACTGCGCATTGCCCAGATCCCACAAAGTGCGCGAATGCACCGGCGAAAGAAATGCATTTTTTTTTAATGAAGTGGCTGCACTGAGACGTTGAGCATGGGCTCAAGGAAATCTCCAGATACTCACATACAATGGCAGCTGGCAGTACTGACTGAAAGACGCAGATGCAGGAGATGGCGAAAAACATGGTGACATTGTTGGTCACCGTGGTTGCCTTGCGACCCATGTCGTAGAACAGCATCACAATGAATACAGCGAAGCCAACATATGCCAGGAGGCGCAGAGGAGTAGCCACCTGAACAGGTATATCCGTGGCAAGTGTTACGCACACTTTGTCAAATGACACTGATATATAACATTTTAATGCCTGCACTGCAGCTGGCGTTCTTGAGTAGTCAAGTTAGATCAATTTTGGTACGTCTTAAGCACCAGAGAATTCATCAAAAGTTCTATACTAAAAAAATCATGCGGTATTATACAAAGAAGTTTGGCTTGAAAACGGGGCCGAAAACGTTTCCAACATGTGCCTCAGTTGCTGGCGAATTCGCATATCTTGCATAATACGGCGACTAATCATCGCCTAATACATACAACGAGATCATCGCATAGGGACAGCTGAGTACAATTACTCTAGATTATTTGCATTTTTATGAACACAATATTAACAATGTGGTTTCACTTCAAGTATATCATTCCAGGCACTCCCATGCGAAGTGCAAACCATTTCGAGTTGTTTCCTTTTTTTTTTGAACAAGGAAGTGTTTCATGTCCGATTCCACTACGGTTCATCTAACGTATTTCCGTCTAGGATATGATGTTCCAAAATATATACTAACAGGGTGCAAAAAAAACGAGAAGAAAAGTATTGTCACTGTGCGTCGAACCTACGACCTCTCGCTCCGCAGCACATGGCGCGAAACCACTGCGCCACAGTGGGTACTTCTTCAGTACGTTGACCGGCTTGCTAACGGCAAGAAATTTATAATATACACACCATATATATAGACAAGATAACCGCTGCTCATTAAGGCTAACTAACTGGATTCCCAGAGAAGGGAAGCGGCTTAGGGGGAGACAGAAGGTTAGGTGGGCAGATGAGATTGAAGTTGGCGGGTATAAATTGGCAGAAGCAAGCACAGGACCGGGTTAACTGGCGGAACATGGGAGAGGCCTTTGTCCTGCAGTGGACGTAGACAGGCTGATGATGATGATGATGATGATGATGATGATGATATCATTGGCAGTCCTCAGAAGTCATCAACATCAACGCATTTTCGTCAACAGTAGCGAGACGGTGTGAAGAATGTGCGTCGAGTAAGCATTGGGTGCGCTCTAAAGGACATCGCACTGCGCGTTGCGGTGTGGGCGCGCCTTCACAAGGCCTAGTTCCTCGTTCGCGCACGCTTATCTCGTGATTCGGGTGCTTTGTACTTCTTGCGCTTCCACCGCAAGTTTGCTTTGAAGTTACAGTGTTTAGAGCTGCGCGAAGTTCACTTCACTTGCTGCCGCGGCCGCGTTTTAGAAAGCTCACACGTGAAGAAGTAAAATTGTGACAGTTCGCGCTCGTCCTGGGTACGCTTGTGCGTTCGTTGCGTGCGTCTTTCTTTCTGTTCGAGCAGTGTGCTTTAACTGTCGAGCTGTGATAGTTGTTAGTCTGCACTCGTTTTGTGTATACCTATAGCGCACGTACTTTCCGCTTGAGGTGCGCGTTGCATGTTTTGAGCTGCTTGCCATCATTTGCGTGACATTACAATTTGTGACTGTAGCATTCATTCTTTCGCCCTTGTGGTGAAACAACTAACAATAAACACTCATCTGCCTCTGTGAAGACGTGTGTCACTTTCATGTTATATACCGATTCTTGTAGAGAGAAATAATCTATTTTTTTAAAGGAAACACACTCAAGCAATGAAAGCAAGTCTTTTCCTTTTTTGTGGTTACCACGGCTAGTCTTAATCGGAACATTTACATTGGTTGAAACTTTTGTGTGTTAGCTGCATAGAAATTAATTGTTAAGAAAGAGAGAGAGAGATAAAGATGCAAGGAAAGGAAGGGAGGTTAACCAGACGCACATCCGGTTTGCTACCCTGCACTGGGGAAGGGATAAAGGGTAGAAAAGAGGTTGCAGAGAGATGAGAAGGTACACACAATCACGAGCACACTCGGGGAGCACACACAGTTTACAGGCGGTCGCTCAGGTTTGTTGACTTAAGGTAAAGTAGCAGTGCTTTAGTTGCTTTCTGCGCAACTGAGGCAGATGCCCAAGGTCCTAGTATCTTCTGCACACAAAATGGTCCGGGGTCAAGTCGATTCAAAACCATCCGTAGCTGGCATCGCTGTGTGTCGTAGCAAGCGCAGCTGCACAGGACGTGTTCGATGGTCTCTTCATCTCCGCAGTAGTCGCATGTAGGAGTGTCTGCCATACCAATGCGAAAGGAGTACACCTTTGTGAATGCAACACCCAACCAAAGGCGGCATAACAGTGTCGCATCGGAGCGGGAAAGTTGTGATGGTAGCTTTAGCTTGAGCGAAGGATCCAGTTCATAAAATTGACACCTTTGGAAGCTGGTAGACGACCAGAACGTGCGTGTGAGATCTCGAGCCAGCAGGTAAAGTTGTCTTGCTGCATCATTCCTTGATAGAGGAATCGGGACTACACGGGTTCCTTCATGGGCTGAGCGGGCTGCATCATCGGCTAATTGATTTCCGGTAATACCAATATGTCCAGGCAGCCATTGATATATAATATCATGCCCTCGTGCTAGAGCTTCATGATGGCAATGTCTTATTTCTTGTACCAATTGGTCATGACTCCTCCTACGCATGGCAGACTGCAAACTCTGAAGCGCTGCCTTCGAATCGCAGAATATGACCCATTTTCCTGGACGTTCTTGAGATATTGTAAAGCAGCCCTTATAGCAGCAAGCTCTGATGCCGTAGATGTAGTCATATGCGACAACTTAAACTTGATTGTCATTGCTGCAGCCGGAATTACAGCGGCACCTGATGAGCTGCTGGACGAGACGGACCCATCAGTGTATATCTGCGTTCGGTCTAAGTACAACTCATGTAATAATTGCAGTGTTGCTTGCTTCAATGCTACTCTGGTGTGATTGCTTTTCTTTTTGATTCCCGGAATTTCTAGACGTACTTGCGGCTGGTCGAGGCACCACAAAGGACATGCCATTCTCGCAGCTGGCGTATATCCTGATGGAATGCTGTTTAGGTGCTTGGCTATGACGTCTGAAAACGTAGCACGTGGTCTTTTGGAGGGTAGAAGGGCCAAGTGGTGGTCGGGGACACGGCTAGAATGTCGAATGTGCGTTCTGAGGCAATCCACAACTCTATATGTTCTGACCAGATGGTCTTTGGCAAGCATGATTGTGGCATAAGTAAAAGCGCATCGGGGCAGTCCTAGGCAGATACGCAGTGCCTGACCCTGCAAACTCTCCAATGAATGAGTATTGGATTTGCAAGTGTTAGTCAGTACCGGCAAGCTGTAGCGCAATAGACCCAGAAATAGGGCCCTGTACAGCTGTAGCATGGAGGCCACAGAAGTTCCCCATGCTTTCCCGCACATGAATTTCATTATATGCACAATAGATAGCAGTCTCTTCTTCAAGTACGCACAATGTGGGCTCCACGAAAGACTTCTGTCGATTATTATGCCCAGGAAACGATGCGACCGTGCATATTCGACACTCTGTCCATTGATGTAAACAGGGTATGGCGTCATTGGTTTGCGTGTAAACGCCATCAACGCGCACTTCACAGTTGATATAGTTAAGCCTTGTTTCTGAAGGTAGGCTGTTGTGAGGGTTGCTGCCCGCTGTATTCGTGCACGCACCTGAGGGCGAGTAACTGCAGCACTCCAGGGGCAAATATCATCGGCGTATATGGATAGGCACACCGACTTTGGCAGAACCTTCACCAGACCAATGAGGGCAACATTGAACAATGTGGGGCTTAAAACACCTCCCTGAGGTACTCCGCAGTAGGTGTAATGTTCAGCAGTTGTACCCTCATATGTTTGCACAAAGAAACACCTGCCAGTTATATAATCTTTTATCCAATGAAACATTCGTCCACCAATGCCCATTGCTGCGAGAGAAGTGAGGATGGCATCGTGAGCTACATTATCATATGCACCCTTCACATCAAGAAAGAGTGCCACTGATATGCGCTTGCGACTTTTTTCTTGTTGAACGTCAAGTATGTCGATAAGTCAAGCACACAGTCGATGGAGGAGCGGCCCCGACGAAAGCCTGCCATGCAAGAAGGGTATTTGGTGTGTCGTTCCAAGTACCACTCGAGACGAAATAGAACCATTTTTTCCATCACTTTTCCGAGGCAGCTTGCGAGGGCGATAGGGCGATACGCTGTCCAGTCCAATGGTGATTTTCCCGATTTCAAAAGTGGTATTAATCGACTTATTTTCCATTCTCGGGGAACACTGCCGCTGAGCCAGGAGTTGTTGAAGCATGTTAACAACAACGTTGGCTTTTTGTCCAAGGTGTCCCAACGCACTATAAGTAATACCATCAGGACCTGGCGATGACATGCGCTTAGAAGCGACTAAAGCACCTTCCAGTTCTTCCATGGTGAATGGAATGTCCATTTCTGGTAATCGCGTCTCAGGAACGATCACGGCGTCGATGCTCTCGTTCATAATATTCCCGGCAACTCTCATGCAAAATTCTTCAGCCACCTCGAGTTCTGTTTTTCCATGATGGAGTGCCAAAGCTTTAAAAGGGTGCCGTTGTTGCGGAGAGGAGCGAAGACCACGAACTGTTCTCCAGATATATGACAGCGGTTTATGAGGGTCTAGAGATTCGCAGAATGCTTTCCAGCGTTCGCTCTCCAGCTTGTAAATGCGTCGTTGAATCTTTTTCTGGAGCCGCCTTGCTTCCCTCAGATCGTAAATTGATCTTGTGCGTCTGTATCGTCGTTCAGCACGCCTTCGTATAGCTCGTAATCTTTCCAGTTCGATGTCAAACTGGGTTATTTTAGACGAAAATGGTAATTTAATTTTTGGTAATTTAATCGTTAAGACATTTCCGAAAATGGTGGTATGTAGACACCAGTGAACACAATGCTTTACGTACGTCTCTACGTTGTATTACGCTATTTAGGTATTATGTGATATCGTATACTACCAGTATTAAGTGTGGAGCTTTTTAGAGGGCCGGCTGTCGTATGTTGTCGCGTGCTATTATCGTCACTTGGCGTAACGCTTCATATGTAACGTATTAAGGATGCGCTATCGCCACGGACAAATCTTCTTCCGCCTCTTCTTCGAGCGCCGTGATGATGATCACTTATCATAGGAAAAAAAAGAAAAAAGCTATTGCGCTAGGCGTACTGAATTGAGATTATTTATAAAAATAGAAAAAAAAGGTAGCAATCGCTAAACAGAATGACAGAAAAAAGGAAAACGGGAAGGAAAATAAAAAGAGCAAGAAAGAAAAGCCATTCAGTAATTACAAGAAGAAGAAAATAATATAAACCTTAAAGAGAAAATAATAATAGAAGTCCCAGCCATAACCACTAAAGGGAATTATGTTACAGGAGTTAGCTCGGAGATGATCGGGTAACCCGCGAACAATCCGTACTTTTGCGAAACAATCATTCGTAGGAACTTTTGCCCACCGTCGTTTTGGCGTTTACTCAACTCCAATGTCAATGCTGACCAATCACCTTTGTTGGGAAACCTGTCTTAATACATGAAAGGCTAAGACAACGTTACTCAAGAACAGCGCATAATTCTTGTAAAGAGTACACACCTTGTTGCGGTAAACGGCAAGCCAGCACCGTTTCAGCAGGACACGAAACTGGTGAAATTGGTTGACCTTGAAGGTGTACATTCTGTAAGCTTCAGCTTTTTGCTGCCAAATGAAAATGAATAAAAAGTGATTTATTGACAGATAAATGACATTAAATCGAACATGTAACCTATACCTAACATTATAACAGGTATGGTAGAGTTCGCGACCGCAAATGTCGCACGCACGGACTTTCTTTTCGTGGCGGCATGGCTGAGGTGTGCATCGAGAAAAGAAGCATGATAGGCGAATGAGAAGACGCTGCGAACGGTGCCCAAAACGATGTAACGTTCCGCGCATAAATGCGAAGCTTAAGCATCCTCTGATTTTTTTTTTTCGTCTAAAGAATTCTTTGAGTGCGTGCTCCAAACAAGTGCGAAAAAGTGCCAGCTTTCAAAATTTCTTTTGTAGACACGCACTGCTTAACCTCACTTACGCAGGTGAACGCCCGACATGCGTCATCAAACGCCACTATTGACAGGCATCCCGTATCGGCGTCTCCCGTCGGCAACACGAGCGATGCAAAAAATCATTGTCACGCGATCATATGAAACCACTACGAACTCGCAGATCGCCCGAATTTGTAGCGTCGTACGTCGTTGTAACGTCAGAGTGACACAGCGTGGCGTAACGTCACATGAGACCCCCCCCTCCCCTCACATCGTAAGTGGTTCAACGGACCGCCGATCACGAAGGCGGTGAAAAACCAGCGCGTTCGATCTTGGAGGCCATGCAAAACCACATTAAGTGCACAAAGCTTTCGTATGGTGGTGGGTCAGAAATAACACATCAACATGAAAATAAGACGAACGTGGTTTTCGCCTTCCAGTCATCTTAGGTAAGTGCGTGAGGAATCCTGCTAGTTTTTTTTGAAGCCAGCATACCCAAATTCGTTTATTCCAGCTCAACGGGCTTTCAGTATACCTGAACGACGTACCTCACTAGTCATCGTCACTCCTCCGTACTTTGATTGTGTTCCTTGAACGACTGTGTTCTTATCCGGCTCCGGGACCTCGAATTCACGGCTCAACCTTTCGCAGCAGTCGCCGTAGTCTCCAGATGCTATCTCGCAAACTGTAGCCGGAATGAAGAACATAAGCAGTTCCACGTGTAGCAACACGGCTTGCAGAAAAATTCATTTCAGACTACTTAATGCGCCCAATTTAAGCGCGAGATAAGTTGCGTGCCATTAATGAAATCACTTCATTGAGTAAACGAATATTTCATATTGAGTATACGCAATGCATAAATAGCGCGCCATTAATAAAATCCCTTCATTGAGTAAACGAAGATTTCATATTGAGTATACGCGATGCATCAATATTTCAGGGAGCTTTTTGAGGCCAGACTTACTGTAGTCGGCTGGGTTGTGATACTGTGGGCACTCCAGTCCGTGCCTCGACAGGAATCCCACAAGTTTATCCACTTCACCATTATAGATGCACCGTCCTTTGGAAACCATATAGAGCTGTAAAGAAATGCTACCCTTTCAGTGACAGGAGAGGAGGCGTGTCTGTTTATCTGAGTACTGCACGCCCTTCCTCACCATGCTATTTCTCTCATTAGAGAGAGGCAATCTCAATAGAGAGACATGGACACTTTGGTGACCACGCATATTCTTATTGTTATTATGCTAACTATGACTTCAAGTTCAAATTATGGCGCTCTTTGAGCGCTTCTGGACAGTTAATGTCATCGAAAGGGTAATAGAGCATGTTTTTTTAATATATATAAGCATTGCGTGCGAGCTTCTTTTTTGGTGCCACGGGAAGATTCTTAAAGCCCGTTCGCTGACGGGAATGTGAGCGCTAATGGTTTAAATTGTGGCGTCGACGTCATTGTGGGTTCTCTGTAAATCAGAGCATTTAGACGGATTCAGATGAATAAGATCGTCAATCTCTGAATCACGGTGGTAGTAACAGACACGGAAGACGACTTCGATTGGTCAGATATCGGGAAGAGTGGCGATAGTGCGTCAAGCTGTCCCGGAAAAACAGCAGGTATCCGCCACTTAGCTTTGCTTTCTCTTGGGGCCGTTTTATCGCTGCAGTGCGTTGATGTAAAGATATGCTGAGCGTAAGAAAGGCCACAGTTCTTATCTTCAAGGTTTAAACTTCGTTGGGGGGTGAGCATTCAGCGCCAGCTGCCGAAAGGGTGGAGTTCTCAGCTCCGCGAAGACGGCGTGGAGGAACACTTCAACCATCACTGCAGAGTGCCGCGCCGTTCTCTGTGTTGTTTTTCACCGTAGAAGCCACTAGAGAGATATGCATCTACACAATTAAGTATGCGTGGATGCATATTTTTTTTTAAATTTGAATACACAGTGAGCCGACCTTTGTTTCACCTTGTCGAGAAATTGCCTCGCGCGGTAGCATTATGAGCCCTATAGGTGCTTATATTTTTGTATGCAAATAACCTTTGTACTTGTGGAGCTTACATATGCCCTACTAGCCTATAACAGCTTTTCGGTCCGAACATACATTTCAGTTTTGTTTTTGTTTTTTTGGTTTCCTGTGCAGGGTATAGCATGGATGTCTTCATGAATTATTTATGCATTTCTTTGTTTGATAACAAGTTTTTAAAATAATCAGAGTAAATCTGTTGTTTGAAATTAATACTATTATATACCAATGCTTTTTTATCAATTGATACCTTACTGCTTAGCATAAATAAATTTTGGAGGAACGAAAAATGCTCTTTGCTGGACTACCCAAAGACAGGAGATTTTTTCGCGGCTATGAAACTGTTAATAACATTTAGCATTGTTCGATTAACTTCACGTAGGCTTTCATAGTATTCGCATTAATTGAGCACTGCAATGACTGCCATGTGACTGCCTTGAACAACCATCTGTATTTAATACCCAGCACTTTCATCCAATAACCTAGGATTAAACCATTAATGCCTGTATTACGAAAGTGCCGAGAACAATAGAAATTGTTTTCATTTTATAGCTTTCAATAGCAACCTTCAAAATATGCCGCCGTTAAATTATCTAAAATGTAACTTCAATGCGCAATCTTGTGTAGGTCGCGAATCTTCCATATGCTATAGAAGCGAGAGCCTTGCAACAACAACAACAACAAAAAAACGCTCTTCGGAACTATCTAACATGTTGTGTGTCGCCTCTTGAGTACGCACACACCAAATAAACAAAATAGTTGAAGATAGGAACTTGGCTCATTAAGGTAAGAAAAGACGAAGAAGTGAAATCTCTTGCACTGCTGCTTTGCACTTTCCGCCACAAGCTACAAAACAAATGGTTCTAGCTTGAAATATCTTATACAAGACAGCGCTAAAATTTTCTTACTAGAAGCTACATGCCTCGAGAGTGACAGCCAGCACTAAAGGTGGAACGCGTTTCGTGACTTACTTGCTGGTAGTTTTTTGGTATGTCGCGAATTCTCGATCTCCGGCAGTAACTGAGGGTTAAGTAAACACACCTTACCCACATTCTACAAACATCGCTTACAGTACTAAAGGATATAAACATCATTATGATGACACTTTCTCGAGAATTTCCCAAGTTACTTTTCCCCTATCGAGGAGAACGCAGAAAGCACTATAGGCTGCGTAGAACGTGGACAGGGTGTTAATATCTTACCATGTCGAAATGAGAGAATATCTTTGCACTGGGGGCGTGTATGGAGCAAACAACCGTATGCCCCATGGAGTCTATCCGCTTGAGGATCTGTATGCACATTAGACTAGACACGTTGTCCAGGCCACTGCATTCAAGAGAAAGAGCAGAACATTACGGACGTGTTAGAAAACAAAAAAAGCAACAAAACTGGGTGGCATTCAACATTCATTTGAATGCAGTCTATTTTTTTCTGGATGTGCCACAAAATATCGGAAACATATGTCCGAAACATGCTTGTATAATGATCATTTCTTTTTATTGTAGATGTTTATTGTAGATGAAAGCCACCACAATAAATGCTAACAAAACCTGCGGCCGAAGTCTTCACGCATTTGCAGGAAACTCACACTATTTGGTGGACAATGAATGCATAGACTTTGGAACGCTTTCTTGAGTAATAATACTTTCTATGGTGATCATCAATTGAATATAATATTCGTAGCTTCTCATTTACACAAATATCTTTTCGTGGTTTAAATATTCTGAACTTGCCCAAGTTCAGTTATAACTTAATCGTTGCGGTTTAACGTCCCAAAACCATGGCGTGATTATGAGCGACGCCGTAGCGGAGGGCTCCAGAAATTTCCACCATCTGGAGTTCTTTAACGTGCAGCCAAAGCCAAGCACACGGACTTTTCGCCTCCATCCAAAATCCGACCGCCACAGCCGGTATTCAATCCCGCGACCTACAGTTCAGCAGTCTAGCGCCATAGTCATAAGACCACCGCGGCGGGTTTACCTAAGTTCAGCTATAGAAATATAATTGACCTGCTGATAATTGTGTAGAAAGCTCGCATGCAGTAAGCTAAAACTGTCGCAATGGAAGCAACTTGATACTTGTTTTGTCATAACAGTGCAGTGAGGGCACTGCTGTAGGGCTCATAAAAAAACTGGAGTCATCGACAGAACGTTGAACGCATGAACTTCTTTAGCTCACTGAAAGAATATTACGTACGCGAAAGCGTAATAACAACCACCACGCCACTTTTATCCCCTTATTCACTCACTCCAGCTCTGTTTTATCACTATTTGCTTCTTTCGTGTTGTCGTGAACACTTGTTTACTTGCATTCCTGGCTGAGCCATGGCCTGCGACATACATTCCGCAACGGTGTTGCTTTGTGTCGTGCCTAGTTTCATTGTTTCGCTCCTTTCCTTCCCCTTGTCTTCTAGTTCTTCCTGTAACTCACTGTCGGAGTATTCGCACTGCTGCAAACAGCTTTCTTCCTGCCAATACCAAAAACCTCTTTTTCTTTAGGTAGAAACTTCCCGAACACGTTTGCTTAAGAAGATGGCACAGCCAGAACATAGAGAAGAACGTAATGTAAGTAGAAAGTCCATAGAAAGAAAAGAAATATATATATTATTAGGGAGACACGTTTATTCCCTTGCCAACAAGCGCTGACATTTATTACGAACACTCTGCAGGTCAGCACGACGTTGCTCACGAGTTAAATTTCTGGAGCCCGGTGACAAATGTGCAAGCGTTTGACTACCGCGCCCTCTGGGAGCGGCAATTCAAAACACTAAATTGCCACCTCTGTGTGCACTCATGACACGCTGCTCAATGTCACACGCAATACTGATGTTGTCGCTGCAATGGCCTTCACTCGAAGAGCGCCGCTGTCAGCTGTTTTCGCTTTGCAAAGGCGCAATCAAAGACGAAGTCAAAGCGTCTAGTATAATTTCGTTGGAGGTTGCATTAGCAATTTGGGGCTACGACGCTTTTAGTTGAAATCCAATACATTTGTATATATATACACTTTATGTCACTCATTTTATATTCGCAGTAGCAACGTGCGGGTGACGTATGGTGACGTGCCGGTACGGTATACAGTGCTTCGCCACTCGTCACGATGTACATTAATCTAGGTGCGGTTTTTCTCTTTTCTCCTTCTCATGCGCGTTTTTTTTTAATCATTTATACTGATCACTCTTAAGGCGCTCTTGATAAAGCTGGCTGATTTGCAAGGGTTACGTGGCTTAGACAAGGCGTCTGACCGTCGGACTACCTAGTGGGTTCGTCGAGGAAAAGCACCGGCGGGTTGTTGACCAGCTCTTGGGCGATGGCCAGCCGCTTCCGTTGACCGCCGGACAGGTTCTCCGTGATGGTGTTGCGGCACTCCTCCAGACCCCATTCATGTATTGATTGCTCAACCTGCGAGCGGTAGCGTAATAAAATGCCAGTTTAGTGCTTCCCTCGTTCAGGCTCTGGAAGTAATTGCTTAATCAGGAAGTACGTACGCGCAATTTCTATAGCAGTGACTCTTGTCAGAAAACGTGAAATGGTACTTTTAAATTAAGCTTTCGATGGTCCTGACAGGGCCAAGCATCACGTGTACATTCTTTCGATATTGAAGTTACCTTCATCTTACGCGGCGTAGTGCGCTCACTGTGTTCATTTTATGGGACACTGTGTGTGTAGAAGACAGGCCGGACATCACCACTCTGTTTTTCACTATAGTTTCGATTTGAGAAATCCAATTCATAGTAGTTTTGGCTAACGTGAACAAGAATAGGAGTTTGTGAACAAACAAGCGCGTTCTGTTTCAATAGACAACACGGCCAGTAAAGGTGGTAGTAGGTGGACATTAGGACCGATATTCTGACGGTTTCCTCCTGTTCCTCATTAATAGGAGAAGGAAGCAACCAGTATATCGGACGCAAGATTTCGTAACGTATAGCACAACATTCAGTTTATTATTCGGTATTCGGTAACATTCGGAATTTCTTAGCGTTTTAGTTAATAGAAAAACACACTGTATCATCCACGGGGACACCGTTTGATGTCATGATACTAAGTTGCAATGTCATGCTTAACGACTTCCGTTATTTTGGTTTATATGGTCGCCTTGTTAACATCAGTTGTATTTATCTGTGATCTCAAAACTCGTTCGTTTCGCTCTGTATGTAAATGTACAAAGGAATATCACGTGTCCTAAAGTTTTTATTGTCATTGCACGTTACAACATCAGTTATGCCAATTTAGCAAGTTTTGCGCAATTTTACGCAGTACCACACAAATGGCGCTGTGTCGTACTCCCTTTTAGGAGTGCCAGGTGCCTTGCTCTACAAGCATCCCGCTTTACGAGCGTTGCTAGCAACAGGTGCTCTGCTAAATGCATTGGTGCTACTTTAGCGCAAACTTTAGAGACGAGGGACGAAACGACACGACACACACAAGCCCTAAAACACGCAAACCTGTTCTTTTGTTCCTCGGCTCTGAAGTTTGCGCTATATAGCAACGTAAATGAATTACCATCTATTTCAAAAATGGATTTTGCAGAATTCACTAAACGAAGCGGCAGGTGTGGGTACTTAGTGTTGCCGAATTGACCTTTAGGAGCGCGTAGTCGTGTTTGCGTTCTTTAATTAAAAATGCGTGAGCGAAGAGAAACTGCCACGACCTGTCTACATTGTCGCTGTACCTTTTTGGCCTTGTCCCTTGGTTCAATGTTGGGCATTCGCAGTTCGACACTCATGGAGATGGCCTCGAAGGCCGTCAGAACCGGCAACAGGCGGTCCTCTTGCATGACGTAGCAGCTTTGCTTGTTGAACAGCTCTCGTTCGCGCACGTAGCCGTTGATATGAACCTCTCCCGTGTAGCCCTTGTCGCTACAATCAAAGAAAATTTCCGGTTGATGATTGGAAATACTCGTCTGTATGGACAGTGGTTATTCCAGTGTCATTTGGTCGTATATGTGCGCGCTGCGTGTGAGGAAAAAGGGCACAGGTGGGGAGCGAGGGGTACGATATGCCTGAGCAGAATAAAGTGTTATACAATACGGCAAAATACCTTGTTTGCTGTAACATTGACGAAGCATATCTCTGCACTATAAGGGCCGGAACAGCTATAGGTCACCTTGGCTCTTATTGCTTATAACATTTTTTTTAGTTTTACATTTATCAAGGCTTGTTAACCGCACTACATATGTTTCGCGAGGTACTTACGATAAGAGAAACACTTAACGTTCCCAAGTAATGAAGGAAGATTCAATCTCCAGAGCTGTGCACCGCTTACCACAGAACACATGCAAGCACCCCGCAGAGGCTTCGATAAACAAGCTTCGATAAATTGCGCGCTATCTTTAGACAAGAGTGATATTTTAAGCCGAGGTTTTATCCGATTGCATTAATCCACCGTCATTGGCTTATTTATGCCTATGGAAGAGATCTCATTCGTGAAGTCACAAATCGGCTTTATTCTTAATGTCTGTCAAGTTTCAGCACGGCTTGCGAGCGATACTGATGCATGAAGACTATGAACTCTTTTCAATTTATCAGATGGTACCAATCCACTTTTCAGCGGATAAATTGGAGTGTCTGGTTGTTTTTAATATCTGTCTTTATTTGGAACTGTCGATGTTACAGGGCGTTCTTATCTGAACAAACTGATTCACACTCATTCGTGGTGACATAGCGCTATATCGGGACAAGCGAAATAGACAAAGCAATGCGTGTAATCATACTGCATCACCCTGATTTATGTATTCATTTGTTCCCGTGAAAACATTCTCTAGAGAAAACTCGCTCAGGCCTACCTCGCTGCCTTAGTAATAAATCATCCCCTCTCTCTTTCTATTGATCTCTTTCTCGTGAGTATTCCCGATGTTTTTTTTTTTTTGGCCTCGATATTTTTAACCACACAACGACTGAGCTAACTGGCCCTGCCGTTTCATTTAACGTCGCTTTTATTTTGTTGGCGCAATTCAAGAATATTTCTGTAGCTGGATATCACAGCACGCAACGTTTTCAAATGTGTCAGAGAAAGGAAGTAAATGCCTGAACAGAGAGTGAAAGCGAAAGAAAGAGACAGAGGGGGTTTACACAATGAATTGGTCCCGCAAACAGGGCTCCGAAACACAATCTGACCGTCTGACGCCAAAAAAAGGTGTCTGAACGAAAAAAAAAAAAAGAGACAGAAACTAAACATTAAAAAAAGCGTCATGGTTCACAACAGAAAGAAGGTATGTTGTCCTTGAAAGTTGAATAGAGAAATAATGGTGCGATATCAATACCTCTATTGTTTGTTAAAGATACGTACAGAGGTGATAATCACAATGTTTCCAGTCTATGCCATAGTAGTATCTAACGATGAACAGTATCTAACATGGCGAACTTTTGAATGATTAATATACTTGTACTCATTTAGATTTATTCGCATTAGCAGAACTGCTGTCAACGTCTGAGAACGCAGTATGACATTCGACGGGACCACGAGCTTTTCGTAATCACAGCTTGTTGGCCACGCGAAGTGGGGTGTAAGAAAATTGCGGTGTCCTTGAATGGTGCAAGGTCACGCCTAGCTCTACATGAAAACAGTCACGCTGTGAGAGGGAAACTGTGAGTAATAGGCCGAGAGGTGCGAGGGAAAGCCGAAGACGGAACGAAACAAACAGAAGGAAACTGTACTAAGCGGCTTGCGAAAGCGTCGGTGGCGCGTTTTCCAAACCCTTGTTCGAAAAAGAAAGACAAACATACCGGCTACGCCTTCTCTTCTTGAAACAACGTAAAAACCTGGACGAGCGTAGGATTCGGTATGTCGCAGTACGTCGCTCTTTTTAGTACTGGTTTCCGTGTTGCAATGCCGCTCAAGACTTATTACAAGCGCTTCAAATGCCGTCTTGTTCACTCTTACAGCAAACAAGATGACAAGGTGCTTTCGCGCACGGGCTGCTATGGGAGTCCGAGGCGTGCATGAAGAGAGGCAAGACTAGAACGAAAGGCGATTGACTATAGGCCGCTGCATATAGCGTGGAACTCCTATACTTACCCAACAGCCTTAACGAAGTTTAGCTATTATTTATTTAATAAGTACTGCAGACACAAGTTTCATGCAGGCTAGGCAAAACACAACCAAAAAGTAACACCATCTTGTTAGTTGAACTATATAATCTTTAGCATACATCTGAAAAAAAAGAACCGAAAAAAAACACATTTCAAGTAACCCACCTTATACAATAAAAGCGTGTGAAATAAACGATATATATGTTAGTTAATTCTTTTAATGTTTCGTGGTGCGCGGAATTTGAATAAGTCAGTTTGGGAAAAATAGAGATTAGAGCATTCGGGCGATATTGGCAAAGTAAGTCTCGTCAATAGTGCACTAAAATAGGCTGCCGAATATAATGTGAGTTCATTACTAAGTAGCTGGGACAGAAATAGAGCTGCAGTTCTTTCCGGTGCGATTCAAGAATGTGAAAATGATTCGACTGCATCAGTTCAGTTGGCGAGTCGAAAGTATAAAATCTATTGTAAAATAAACCGGATAGCCTGTCTCTGGATTCGTTCAAGATTTTTTTTTATGTTACAGTGTGTGTAGTAGGGTTCCCATGCAATGCAGGCGCACTCGAGCTTCGACCGAATTCAGTAATAATACGCAAGAAGTTTAAGAGAAACCGGAGCATGTTTAGGCTTATATTCAAGATAGCACAGTTTTCGGATGACAGAGGAAAATATGTTTTGCTAATGAAATGGTTCCAGGTGAAGTTATTACAAGTTATGACACTTAAATATTCAGTGACTACTTCGAATAGTAAAGTGGATGCGCTGGACCAATGTGTACCGATATGGCAACAACGACGGTCAAGTGATTACGCGAGTTATCACCCGGGAATCTCGTCAAGTCGTATTAACGCGATAGCGTTAAGGAGCTCGTTTTTCAGAAATCATGGCGCTGGCATCGTTTGCTGTGAGCGAAAAAAAATCATTTTGTGCGTGACCGAAAATTGAAAAAGATGTAAGTAAAATAAATAATGAAAATTCTGGGCTCGAGTGGGGATCCATCGCAGGTCGTTTGCATGGCAAGTGGGTGTTATACCACACAGCCATGTGTCTGCTTATGAATACAGTGAAAATACCTTCATCTGCTTAAAAATGCAGGGAAAATAACTTTCATGCTTTCAGCTCCTTAGGGTGTAGGTCTGTCCATCCTCCGATGGTGTATGTAGCCACCGGTGGCACATACCCGAAAGAGTGGTCCTTAGAATGTCCGCTGGATGGCGGCATTTGCGTACGACGAATACATGATGAAAAGACGTGAGATGGCTGTACTTAGAGTGTTCACAGGATAGGCGGACGGATGGATGGACTGACAGACGCACAGACGGACAGAGGGGCGGACGTACAGACGGACGGGTGGAAGAACGGACGGATGCATGGAGGGACGGATGGAAGGACTGTATGCACCGACGGTCACACGGATGGACAGACACACGAACGGACGCATGGATGTACGCGTGAACGGGTGGAAGCAAGAACGAATGGGCGGACGAAAGCACGGACGGACTGATGAACGCTTCGCCCCACCAATCATCATTGACTCCGTAAATATGCTGCGATTTTTTTTTTGAGGAGAAATTCTAGAGACTTCGCTTGAGCTCAACGGGCAACATGCTTCGCATTGGATAGAAAAAAAAAAGATAATCAAAATGAAGTCACGACGCAGTGATCCGCCGTAACTTCCCCAGCTTTCATGTAAGAGACCGTTTTCGCTGTGCGAAATCAGTAACCTTCTGTCGCCTTTATTATCAACAAACAGCGTGGTCATAACTCTGCTATCTAATATATGACGGCCCAGGCATGATTGAGTAAATATACGAAGCAGATGTGCTACCTCCCCTAGGGGGGGGGGGGGGGGGCTTCCACTTTTTCCCCTAATGCGCACCCCTATGGCAGAAGTATAAATTCCTTACTGAGCTTCTGCACAGAAAGGAATAACTTAAGGTGAATGTCAATGGATAATTTAATAGTAATTGTTGGTTTTTATAAAGTACAAAAAACCATTATACGACTGAAAGCCGCCGTATAGTAGAGGGGCCAGAAAATTTCGACCACCTGGGAATGTTTAACGTGCACCTTATCCTAAATAGACTGGCCTCAAACATTTTCCCCTTCATCGAAAATGCAGCCAACCGCACCGAAATTATACCCGCGGTGAAGCAATTATTTAATCAAATTGCTGGTTAAAAAAACTAGCCAGTTTTCAATAACTAGTGCCTAGCAAGAACACAGCAGGGCTGGTGGTCACGTTTCAGCTTTTCTCGTTGATCATCTGCCCAATCGGTTACCCGCCACGGTGGTCTATAGTGGTGAAGGACTCGGCTGCTGACCTGCAAGTTGCGAGATCGAGTCCCGGTCTCGGCGGCTGCATTTTCGATGGAGGCGAAAAGCCCGTGTGCTAAGCTTTAGCTCCACGTTAAAGAACACCATGCAGATGGCGGGAAATTCTGGAGGCCTCCACCACGGTGTCCCTCATAACAACGTAGTAATTTCGGGACGTAAAACCCCAACAAATATAAATCGCCTGTACAGGATGCTTGGGCAGTGATTGATTGCGTGCCGATTCTTGGTGATGATCATTTTTTAGCTACGGCAAACCTCAACCGTAACAGCTCTGCTGTAAAATTTCTATAGCAGCTTTACTTATACTACAATCTTGGTGAAGCGGCTGTTACAGTGACGCGCGTTTGTGTGTGTTCTGTGTGGTGTGTTTTGCGTTGGGTACTATCTTTCTCTCTCTTTCCACACTTTCTTTTCCCTATTTCGATATCCCCTACTCCGTCCCCACGTTTACGGTAGCACACTGCTTATCCAGGACTTGTTAACATCCCCACCTTTCCTCATCTATTATTTCTTCTCGCTTTTTTGCTCACGGTGAAGAAGACAGGCAGACTGGGCGAGTTGATGAAGTTCCATGAATAAAATAAAAATAAGTGCCATGTGTGTCCATTGCTTCCTTCATCCTGTGTCTAAGCGCTATTTTATATTTTTATCGTGCTTAGGGTGTTATGTTACTTAACAAGGCATAAACATCGTTAACAAGGCACAAACATTGTTAACATGTTAACATATGTTAACAAGGCATAACCATCGGTGTACAACCAAGTTTATGCCTTTTTTCACATCTTCCCTATCCGAACGACTAACGTTGACGACCATCGGCAAATTCTCGTAGTTATAGTTGTTCACAGAACAACCGGGCACTGCGGATGGTATAGATGACGTATATACCACGGTAGTTCACAGACTGCACAAGCGAGGCCAGAAGGGTTGTCTGTGAATCGTTTTGCGGATTCAGGCATTGTTAACGCGAAATGCACACTCTGTAATCGCTATAGTCGGTGGCCATCCTTAGGCCCTGCTTGGCACGTACGCGGAGTCCTATAGGCGAGCGGCTTCACCGAATGAACCAGCGTTTGGTCCGACTTAGAATTACTTCATTTATGAACGAATGTCATTTCCGTATCGGGTTAATGTTATCCCTGTTATGAAATAGCACCATCCGACATTTGTTAGACCCCGTCATAAATAAAAAAACAGCACATCCATGGACTGAATGATGATGAGTAGGAAGCACGTCCGTGTTTCCGTCCGTGTTTCCGTCCGCCCGCGCGACCATCCGCGCGTCCATCAAAGCGTCCGTCCGTCTGTCCATGCGTTCGTCCGTGAGTCTGACCATTCGTCTGTCGGACCGTGCGTTTGTGCATCCATCCGTACGTCCGCGCGTCCATAAACCCATCCGTCCGTGTGCTAGTCCATCCGTCCGTCCGTGCGTCCATCTAGTGAACACTCCAAGTACCGCCATCTCCCATCTTGCATCCGCTGTGACACATACCCGCTGTAGAGTGTGTATGTGCCACCGGTGGCTACGTGCTACTCCATACATACGTAGGAGTGACAAACCCACGCCTTAGCTAAGGAGCTTCGCCACTAAGATGCGTTCATGTCAAAACACAGATATCTGGGAATGACGTGGCGTTTCTGCCACAACACATTCCACGCCGTCATTTATTGTTCGAGTGTTCAGCTTAAATTATAAGCTTAAAAAAAAGAAAGAAACGTATTCACTGTGCTCATTTATTTTAAATTTCTTTGTTTGGAATCCCCTAGCCTATCAACGAAAGATATAGCTATCTTGGGAGTGTACTTTCCCTGATAATATATTATTCAAATACTGCTCTGTTCTTGTCTATAAGCCTCCTGTCGATCATTTATTACTTGCATCGTGTTTAGAAAGGAGACACAGACCACAGTGTTAAATGTCAGAGTCCGAAGGCAGGTGCGGGAAAAGTTTTTATGAAGCGCAAGATGTGAGCTTAGGGTCATTGTCTAGGCTTCGTATTTTTTCAGGCTAGATGCTGTTACAAATTAACTGTCACTCAGAAAAACTGAGATCTCGACTCCAGTGAAATCCATCCGAGATATTCTACATGAACCATTCATCACCTGTCCTTCCAGTTGTAAAAGTTTTCAGATATCGGAAACAGTGCTACTTAGTAACTGGTGCTAATTAGCAGAGATAATCGTGTCTTGTGAAAATGAAGGCCAGCAGCACTCACTAGAAGCCCGTGAGCAAGTTGAGCAGTGTCGTCTTGCCGGCGCCGGAAGGGCCCATCACTGCCGTCAGCGTTCCGGAACGCACCTCCCCACTCATGTTCTCTACGAGGATCTTACTCGCTGAAATGAACCAGAAGATAATGATATCACGCTAAACACGTGGTATCTTTTTATCAGGCTTTTGAGTGCTCTTGCATACACGATGCAAATTATGCAAGTAGTGTTGAACGACGCAGTGGCAACGGCAGGCCTGTTGAGACCTGAAGTTGAAATATGTGTGCCCATATATTCATCTGAATTACTTCTTTGCAGGCCCAAACGGGGCCCTAAATGGCTCATTACCATACACATAAACTTACTCACTGCGGACGGTATGCACATACCGCAGGTCACCTCAGTAAGGTTTTTGTGCACAATACTGCAGGAGGACGGCAGAAATGATCTCAGCATAGAGCACACCGCGGCCAAAGCGGTATATATGTCACCTTTGATCAGACGTGTTACGGACTCTCTAAATAAATTTTACGGCGTCTCTTCCACACATTTCTCATGAGCCGTATCAACTATGTGGCTATAGGTCGCCCTTGGAACAAAGGTGATGAAAAGAGATCAAATATCACCATTGCTAAAGGCATCAAACAGATACTAGAACCACCCGTCCACACCAATACTAAAAAGATTATGGCCTTGGGCGTTCGCAACACATTCAGCTAAATCGCTGACACTCAAAATGTAGCTCAACTGTAGCCAGACTATCTTCCACAAAGGCAGGCAGACAACTTGTAGCTCAGCTGAATCTCACGTCCCCTTTTTCTACCCAACGATAACGCACCCTGCTCCAGTCGATCGGGGACCACATTCTAGTACCTCCACTCCCACGTAACATGCCGGCACACTACAACCAGGGTAAAGCACGTGCCGCCACGCTACTAAACCCCGCAGCCGCATGCCCGACTCGGTCGTCTTTGTACACGCCGCAAAATACCCCAGCTATAAGCGCTATGTAGCAGCCTCGCTACAATGAGAACTGCTCACAGCACTTACGCTCCTAAGCTAGGACCCTGACCGCGCAGAACGGGTAGCAATCGCTTTAGCGATGGCGAATACAAGCCGCACTACAATTTACACCGATTACTGAACCGCAACCTAGGCCTTCCGTGTGGGCTTGGTCTGTAAAGAAGCAGCCCGAATGCTCTCACTTGCCGCGTGAACTGACACGCAAACAAGCTCCGACGCCCTCGTCCTAAACGCCAACGAGCTTGCCCAGGCGTGAGACCTTACTCACTGCGTCAGGAGAGGGTGGCCCACGGCCTAAGGACAAGAAATGGCTTCGGAACCTACTGTACACCTATAATAAAAACTGTCAGCGCTATCATCTCGGTGAGATTTTTCGTTACCGCACCCTCGACTCAAACGACCACGAACACTATCCTTGTGTCCCCTACAGACAGGAGCGTATCCCTCACCGGCAGTTTATGCGAGATTCATAAGCGAACTGAGGCCGGGATGCCCCCGATGCGACATCCCGCGATGCAACTTACAACATATGCTTCGGCGATGCCCCGAGTTGCACGTGGATGACGGGTCTCCAATCCCAGAAAGGGACTGGGTCACTGGGATGCTCTTCTCGCAAGTCTCCACAAGGACGACGAACTTCAGGCCACCCAGAGGGCTCATGAACTGGCCGTCAAGTTTAAACTCCCGGTTCTGTCATGGGCGTGCCTCGCAGACGAGGCCCCTTAAAGGGTCATCGCCTCTCTGACCAAATAACGTTATTCGGTTGGTCGGTCGGTTGGTCGGTCGGTCGGTCGGTCGGTCGGTCGGTCGGTCGGTCGGTCGGTCGGTCTATTTTTCTGAATATTTCCGCTTTCTAGAAAATGATACCGGCTCTATGTTTACAATGAAATAAAATGTGGTTTCTGAATGCAAAGAAGGTATTTCGTAACATTGTTAGGTGAATTATGCTAAGAATGCTGTTCATATGCGTCCGCCTTTCGTCCCGCAACTTTAGGACCGTAGTCGAGATAAAACCATTCTCTTTATATTTATAATTACCGACGACGTTAGTAATTCTTTGTTCCATACGACGGCCAGTCTGTGCATAAAACACAAACACCTCTGCTGCTGTCCCGGCCACAAACAAAATTGTACAGTAACTCTAATCATTGGGAGACATGCACTGCATCCCTAACCTGGCTCTTGCTTGAATCGGAAGCCACATTTGCATCATAGAGTGGTGGTCACTGACCACTGGATTACAGTCATGCATGTATAGCTTTAGGCCTTAAACTTGCGTGACGTACGTTAGTTGATACTTCAACCATACCGTTGCTATACTGGAAGCATTTAGAGTACAAATCATTCCATGCATGCATCATAATAGTAACGAATTAGGAGCTTGGAAGTGCTGCTGTAGAAAAAGTGAGATAACTATTTTCTTTTCCGTTTTGACGAGTTGACAGCCTCCTGTATTCACCTCCTCGATTTTGCTTAAATGTGCTTTTTCTAGTTTTCAACTCATTCAGTTATTATTTCATCATTCTGCTATTAAATATTTTGGCAGCTGGAGACCGCGCGTCACTTTCGGAGCACACCAAAGTAAGAGTTAATTTGTAATCCACTCTTCTAGGCCACCATTACACTATATATATATATATATATATATATATATATATATATATATATATATATATATATATATATATATATATATATATATATATATATATATATATATATATATATATATAGTGAGTTGCCTGACACGTACTTATCTCAATGAATGCCATCTAAGCCCACCATTGAAAATCATAAAACAGGCGATGATGTAAGTTGAAATGTACGCACTTTTCCCGCTCTTGATCTTGTAAGTTAGGTTCTTCCAGGCAAGGTCGATACTCTCGAAGTTTCGGTACCCATTCTGGCGGTTATTTCCGTTCACTTCGGTGTACATCGGCAGCGCTGTTCCAACTGCAATACGTGGCACAAAGTTCTACTTTTTTTTCTGAAATATGTATCGTAAATCATGCCATCTACGCGAACGTAGACACCGTGGTATTTAGAGTGCGTAAACATACACTCTAAGCCAAAAACGGCCGAAATGGGAGCAACGGCTGTTTTTACTCCTTCAGACCGACTGTTACTCTCCGAAAAGACCAAGCGGAACAAGATGGCCGACTTGTTCGAGAATGGGGGAGCAACTGTATTCATCTTAAGTTTGTAAGGGAGCAACGGAAGGAGGAACCGCTGTAAATGCTCTCGTCACGCAACGGTTACTCCCCGGCAGGACACCGCACACAAATATGCATGCCGCCCACATTGATATTTATGGGCCAGACTATTGTTTGTTCTGTGTGCCAAACTTCACCAAACCAAAACAGTGATTTATTTTAGCATCCGCAGATAATAAGATAGCAGCGCTGGCTGAACACAGAAGGCCTGAGAATACAGCTACGGCACACACGCAGAATACACACGCAGCAGCAGAATGGAGAGTTGGCACGTCAAAGCGGACCGAACGCCGAAACACGTGCAAAACAACGATAAAAAAAATTGCCCGCAGCTTCCCTCGGGGGAACACTGAGGAGGATGCGGAGCATATAATTGGTTAACGGGGTGTTAAAGTGCGACTTACTTGGGTCGATGGCTAAATTGGTTAACGTGGTTGTGAAATAAGGTGTTAAATTGCGACTTACTTGGGTCGCTGGCTAAATTGGTTAACGTGGTTGTAGGAGGGGTGTTAAATGAGCGAACACGTACGACACGTATGCGAAAGGGCGGTGTTTATTTATTGCGACGAACTTTGAGCACGATGGCTTTTTGGTCGGTAAAGTGAAGAGTGAGTGGATCGGGTTGCGACCTTGGACGTCGACGCGCCGTACAAACCAACCGACGAGCGGCAACTGAGCGAGCGAGCACCGACCTTGAGTATATATACAGCGCGACGGCGCATGCACTGTCAGCTGTCGAATGTTCGAGAAGGGGGAGAAGCGCAACGGCGCATGCGCGCGCGTCAGCTGCCGATGTTCTGGAAGCGCGACCGCGCATGCGCGCGCGTCAGCTGCCGATGTTCTCGAAGCGTGACGGCGCATGCGCGCTACATTATACAGCTAGCGAATGTTCGTGAAGAGGAGAAGCGCACGCGGTGTGTAGAGGAGGAAGGGTGCACAGATGGTGGAGGAGTGAAGCGCGCGCGGTGTGTAGAGGAGGAAGGGATGCACAGATGGTGGAAGAAGGAGGAGGAAGCTTGCGGACGGCGCCGCACTACAAGCCTCGAGTATTAGATGCTCCGCATCTAAAAAAAGCCTAGACACGCCGTTCGTCCGCGAAGGAAGGGCGTCAAAGTCGATCAAGCACCGAAACACGTGCATAAGGAGCCCCCCCCCCCCCCCCCCCCGGATATATCAGAGAAGAAAAAAGCGGACCCAGACGCGCTTTTCATCAGCTGCACACTTAGTAGCACGCTTCACCGTGTAGTTTGAGGGCAGAATGACAAATCTGCGCCATCTGCGCCCGCACGACAAGTATGGCGCTAGTGTAGCAAGCGATATAATTTACAAAGTAATTTTTATTCAGTGTTTATGTTTATTAGCACTAAATAAAAATTACACTCAATTTTTATATTTAATTATGAGTTTTAGTGTACCTCAGTTTTTTTATAAGTGTATTAGGAGAACACACTGAAAGCATTGCGCTGACGCCTGTGCTGCCACTGCTCGACGTTTTTTTTTTTTTTTTTTTTTCGGCGCAACTAGGTTCGCGTTCGCACTACTCATATTCATATGGTCTGCGGTCGGCAAGCACATGGACATGCGAGCTTGTGAGCTATGTTTTGATCGTGTGTGTGTATGTCGCTGATTTCCGTTTCTACTTATTCGTGATGAAGGTTAGTGTAGATTTATCTTTATGAAGCGCGAAGTTGTTGTGGATTTTGCTGCCGGGTGGAACAAACACATCGTAAACACGTTTTCAGCTATCTGCAAGCCTGTTCGCTCGTCGGACAAAGGACTGTGCACGCATCAGCGTGCGGGTGAGTGGCATTTCCAGCAACATTTAATGCTCTTACAATACATCGTTGAGTGGTTGCGCTATTGAAAGAGAAATGATTTGCTCTTATTCACCGTATCCATTGCTAGCCGTATCGGACTAAATTACCTCTATTACCGCCTGCATACCCTCTTGCTTCCCCTTTCACCACTGCAGTGCCAGTGTACTTTTGCAGTTAAAAGTTCATTTCCGCAACACTACCTCGCTTGAAAAAACATTGGGGCGGGGTTGTAGCTGCCTTCATACTGGCACTTTTTTACCATTGGCTTTATGTAACGTTAACGGCTGAGTGTTGGGGCCTTGGGCCGCATTTTTTAGAGCTGTAAAGTGTATGTAAATCAGTAAGTGAACAAATCATTGTCGCATCACTTCACTGGCATAGCCAGGCGGTTGCGCACAGAATTTTTTTAGGCCGGGCGTAGGGAGCCCAAATTGACGACCATATTCGCTTGCCCGGCCTATTCAGATAAGCGGACCCCCCCACCCCCCACCCCGCACGCCTAAAAAAAAAAAAAAAAATCTGCCCACATAACTGCGTCACTTGCTTCACTTCTGCGCTGAACGTACTATTTTATAAGCGCACCATCAAGCGAGCAGTTTACATATGGACAGAACAATTGGAGGAGGAATGACCCAAATCTTTCAGATTTCTTTAGTGATGAAAAACCTTAGGAAAACTGAATATTGTAAAAGACAATCATAAATGCTGTATGTTCTCGTTATCATTGTCATTATTCTGCATCATGAAATCTTTATGCGCTGTGAAAACTTGGCATGCCGTTGAAGTCACATATCGATGTTAATACCAATCGACGAAAATTTCGACAACCTGAATAACGCCGTTCGGGATTTGCCGCATGCACATAATTAGGCTGATTCCCACTAGGCTGTTCTTAACCTGACTTCACTGCTACCAAATGAAACAATATTTGATGCATGTCTTTTACTACTTTTTTTTTCAGGGATATGGCACAAATTTGGTTATACTGCAGATAAAGATGCTCCCAACGATGCTAAAGTACAGAAAGCAAGTGAATTTTGGTAAGTGCAGACTTTTTGTACTACGTATATGAAAGCATCGCTTTTAAGGGGCAAACTATGCATGTGTTGGCCAGAGAATAGTTCATCATGCCACATGGTTACACTGGCACTGACAATTTGACATGGCTCCGCTGGCCCGTGTGTGTGCTCACACTGTTACCGTTAAGATAAAATGTTTATGTTTTCATTGCAGGGATTGCTGTTTGTACTAGAAAGCCAACTGCCAAGATTTGTTTACGCTGGTACTCCTAAAAGTACGCTTTCCCTATTTACATGGATTTTGGCTTGCACAAAGCATAACACTTGGGCCTAGATTCACAAAGCTGTCCATGCGCAGGCCTTCATGACAGCGTTTCTTGACTTGTCTTTACCCTGTTTTCTGCAGATGTTTCGTGGGTTTAAAACTGCCACAGCATGTTGACCTCCCCCACTCTGAAAAATTCGCGTTCAAAGTTCTGCAAGAGTGGGCTTAACTTTCTTGTGCACCTCCTTGCTAGTCCAAGATCCTGAAGTGTTATGCTCTTACTAGAGGTGGCAGTGTTTCTAATGTTTGTATTTCCATCACATTGACCAAGTATGCGATCTTGGCTTGACTGGTAGCACATCCTCAACAAATGTCTTTGTGGCACATGTAGAAGGCAGTACAAAATAAATAGGCAGACATTCACACCGGGAGCTAACTTCTAATAATGCTTTTTTTTTGGAAACCACGGTGCGCTTATTCCAATTTGTCTAACAAAGCAGTAACCTGTTTGGCTGTGAACCAACAAGACGTTGAACTAATAAAAGCTTCACATCTTGTTGCTCTCAAATATATATGTATTGGCAAGCTATCTGTGACACTGACAAACAAAGAAACAGAATATCTGTGCATGCCTTAAGATATATTGCTTCGTTCACATTTCTCGTGGCTGTGACTCGACAACCTAGTGAACAAATGCGCCCTAGTTTACTAAATTTAAAGCATTTTTTGAAGGTTGCACGGTCTACATTTTTTTGTCTATAGTTTTGTCCAGCCGTTTGCGTCAGGTACAAAGAAATATACTGAAGATTATCATGTAGCCTCTGCAAATGGTTGCTTTCAAGCAGGCTTTGCATGCTTGGCTTGTGCCTACAGGTATTGCACAATTCAAGACGCAGCAGCCTATGATAGAACAGTAGAATCGAGAGCAACTATGTGCACGAGCTAAATAAGTATTTTAACATGAGCGGACGGTATGTGTTATTTGCCACACACATGATCTCACTTAGAATGCCGATTGGTGAATGGGCTCGTAGAAATGTCACTCAGCTGTGTATAGAAAACAAGTTAACTGAACCTAAGGGTATCTTTAATTGCTACAAATATGCCTTGTTGAGGTGCTGCACATTTTCTTCCAGAATATTGCTGTCTGAGACATCATGTGAAAAGCGTCTACCACATCAGCATTTATATGGCTTGCCAAGTAACGTTTGGCCGAACCTTCCTTTTTTTCACATTTCGTTTTGCAGTACTTATCCTAGAATGTAAGCGCTGCTGCAGTGTGTGTGACTCTTTGTTATGCATTAATTCTGGCATGTTTAACCTCACACTTCTATTTTTTTTCTTGCAGCAATGAGATGCTTCACATATGCCTGCGGTGACATTCGGCTGCGCTAGCCTGATGGAAACACCAGCTGCGAAACTTGAGTTCTTCAGAATTGGAGAAGTTGCCCTTCTCTCACCAATGATGACACAGACTGCCCTATGCTAGAAATTCAAGATTGTTTTTCCACGGATGACGCAGAAAACCTTTGATGTATTATGGTGCTTGTTTAGTGCTGGCTGTGGTGTGGCGAAGTCTACTTTTACATGTGCTCACACGTCGCCTCATAAAAAGAACAATAAAGCATTTATTTTCCTTTCAATATTGTCCACTTTTTGTGTTAGAAGCACCCAAGCAGTGCTCTTCCAAGGAGCTCTCGCCATGTGTTAAGTGTGTGACAAGCATACTCGAGATAGTCATTTCCCCAAGAACACTGGAAGCATGTGCAGTTGGCCCCGCCGCGGTGGTCTAGTGGCTAAGGTACTCGGCTGCTGACCCGCAGGTCGCGGGTTCGAATCCCGGCTGCGGCGGCTGCATTTCCGATGGAGGCGGAAATGTTGTAGGCCCGTGTACTCAGATTTGGGTGCACGTTAAAGAACCCCAGGTGGTCGAAATTTCCGGAGCCCTCCACTACGGCGTCTCTCATAATCATATGGTGGTTTTGGGACGTTAAACCCCACATATCAATCAATCAATGTGCAGTTGGTTTTCAGAGAGTAACTGCGAACACCTATACCCCTGTTGCTCCCTTTTGGCTTAGAGTGTATCACGTAGACAATTTCGAATAAAACTACGAAAAAAAATCTGGACTCCATAGTTTGTCGTCATTCTTCACGTGTTTTCTTTTTTTTGCGAAGTTAATGAGAAACATTAAAAGATAATGATTCGTCGCTCTTGAAGGTTAGCGCAGTGATAGACGGACATCTTACTAATCTAATAAAATAGTAGTCAGTAAGCGCAGCGTTACGCACATTTCATGAACCTAATTGTAGTAACTATTTGTTTGTTGTTGACGTTGTTGATATGACGTAAGAAGATATTTGCGCACGAATGAGACACTAGACTCTCCTTTGCTGTCGAACAGGTGTACCATAAGCACACGTGTTCGAAATTGAAATGCCAACTAATGCTATCCAAGTAGCGCCATAACGTTAAAAATGTGTGGTAATACAACTTATTCAGCATTCGTATTCGTTACCTCATACAAACTAATGCGAATTTCGGACAATGCAAAAGGAACTCTCAAAAAGACGAACAATAATGTCAAATCACATTAATACTTCAAGTAAACGAGTGCGTACATATAACGTGTAGTTTCGTTACCATGTACAAGCATGACAAAGGAGCCAACATAAGGCAACCAACAATAACAGACGCTCAGCGGTGCCAAAATGAAAATAAAGTTAAAAACTTGATTCATTATTATGGAAAAGTTTATTCCATCCTTGAAATGTACAGGGCGGGGGGGGGGGGGAGTCAGTAGTTTCCAGGCAAGTATTTCATGTATTCCTGTGACAACATGGCCTAGGAACTTTTGATCCCTCTGTACATCAGCGAGTCACAGTGCGGGATGTGTCACTGGCTGGTGAAACCAATTGACCAATGAAAACTATCATTACGAAAGAAAAGAAGTTAAATAATTTTAAGCTTACTAAGTCGAAAATGTGGTCTATTTTCCATATATATATATATATATATATATATATATATATATATATATATATATATATATATATATATATATATATATATATATATATATATATATATATATATATAAAGAGGTCGACAAACGTTAGTAAAACTAGTGTTTTTTCGCACGTTTGTCGACCTCTTTTTATACTGCATTTTCTTCCGGATCCATTGAATATCACCCCAGCATATATATAATATATATAATTATATATATATATATATATATATATATATATATATATATATATATATATATATAAAATGCCGGCTTGCACATGCGTCTTCTCAGAAAACTAACGTTACTACGGAACACTTAAAACATTATGATTAAAGTCCCCCATACAGTTCCTGGCTTGTGTATTACAGTCATTCATCACAATGCACCACTGACAAGAGAAGGCATTAATAATTAATCTAGATTGTGCGTGCAAAACACCAGCGTTAATAAAATAGCTAGCACAAAGGTATATTCGTAATGATAGGCGTAATAACATGTGATGTTTCAACTTTTTGTTTGCAATTACATGCTTTTACTATCTTTTTTTTTAGAATACTTAATGTAAGACATGATAAGCGGCCAGCTGTACTTCGTCTATAGGGTGACCGGAATATTCGCCTTAATAACATTTATTTTCCATATAACTGAAGGTGCTTCCTACACAAATCGGTACGTATGGCTCCAAGTCCCTTCAATTCATTGTTATCATGCCCACAGTGGTTTTACTGGCGTCCGCACTGCATTCAATACTTTTGTGCCATTCGCTGCAACCGTTCCTATGACACAATGCTCAACGCCGTACAGCGAAACCAGCTGGCTAAGTTCTCTTCCTCGATCATTAGCGCAGGCCCTTCGTTTGTTTTTCGTATATGCACGCGTGCCTCCGTCCATGCGTGAAAGTGGTTTCTATCGCTTGGCTGACTCCGAATATGGCACCCAAGATTCTTGACAATGCCCTGCCTTCTAAGTGGCGCTCTGTTATACCTGAGAGGTGTTTCATTCGCCCCTTCCGTAAAAACCCTGGTAAACCAATCTTTGTGGGTGTTTCAACAGCCGTCCATTCGGAATTAATGAACGAGTCCTTTCCTTGCTAGGCACGATCATATGTAGCCTACTGATAATGATGCCTTAGGAAGTATAGAGGTCTTTATTTGTAGAGCTTTCATTTGAAACGTAGCAATTATGAGATAAATGTTCACGTAGTTACAGTGAGTGAAAATTAAACTCGCCGCCTGTGGAGACCGAATCTTAAACCTTCGCATTACCTTTCGATGCTCTATTGAATAAGCAATGGCAGTTGCTGTTCTCCCTTCTTTGATTCGTTTATTATCCTGAGTTTGACCTTGGAAGTGTTGGGCCACGCAAGTAGTGCTCATGACAAAATATTTGGAACATTTGTTTTTTGCCCGGCAGGGTCACTTAGACACTTGACACACAAACGAACTCGGTTCGATCTCCTTGTCCTTATTTTTTATGAACTAGAAGTGGACCAATAAGCTTTATTTCATTTCCCGTTAGTGATCTTTCTTAAGTAAATCAATTTATTCATTGCATTACTCAACTGAAAAAACGTTCCGAATTATCTTTTTTTTTTTCACCTGCTTTTGTTCACGTTGTGAATGCGAAATTCATGGTTTTTATATTTCGATCACGATTCCTATCCTGTGCAGTGCAACAAGGTGGCTACAGTGTATGCTTTGTGTGAAGAGCAGTTACTTTATCTCATAGCCCGTTACTGTTCATGGGAATCACTTGTTAAACGAGTTGGCACTCGTTTAGGCTGAAAGCAAGCCACTTAAACGTCGAGATACAGAATAGAAAGCAGTGCTTCAAAAACGTCAAGTCCAACGCCATCAGTTTTTAGGGGTGAACCTCCTTAAGGCATGGTTCTGTACGTCCTCCGATGTTGTCGTACATAGTCACCAGTGGCACATACCTGCTCTAGAGTGGGTATGTGCCACAGGAGATGCGGGATGGGAGATGGCGGTACTTAGAGCGTTCACTAGATGGAAGAACGGGCGGACGCATGGACGGACCGACAGACAGACTAGCAGAAGGACGGACACATAGATTGACGCGCGGAGCGGGTATGTGCCACAGGTGCAGCGAGATGTGAGATGGCGGTACTTGGAGTGTTCACTAGATGGACGCACGGACGGACGGACGGACAGACGGATGCATGGACTCCCGGACGGACGCCCTGACAGACGGACTGACGCATGGATGGATGGACAGATGGTCCGTGGACGAACGGCAGCACGGATGGAATGACAAATGCTTCGCCCCACTCATAATCGACTCACTGTATGGTCGTTCAAGTAGTGCTTGGAGCTGGAGAGTTGGTTGGCCAATGTGACAATTACAAATGTTAAATACGATTGCGTATCATGCACTCATATTCGTTCCGATGCAATGTTTCGCTGAGATTTTATTTGTAAGTGTCGCGAGCACAAAACGGAGCACTGAGGACACATTCAACTCACGCGTTCCATTCAGGGTTGTCGCCTTCGGTTCCAAGTCCAACGCCGAGTTATCATAGTCTTTCGATGTACACTCGTTTCCCAGCCGCGAAACGTTCAGCAGCACTGCTCCGGAATCCATATCGGGCACGTTTTGGCGCCACCCACTCACGTGAAAGCAGACAGAACAAACCAAGGGAAAGATCACATGCGATGATGAAGTCGGCGAGCGAACGGCGCTGATCGGTGACTCCCGAAGCACTGACGCCAACAACGCGGCGCGAATTTATCCTTGCACGTGCAAGAAAGAGAGAGAGAGGGGTCGGTTGATGCTAACGTCCTCGCTCTCGACGTCTGAAGTCTTCCTTTGGGAGAAGAGACAAGTAGCGTCAATAAACGTGACGTATACTTTCACTGCGCGCATCGCGGGACGAATTCGCGCCTGCTGTAATATCTCATTACCTCTCTAGCACGTATACACTGTGCCGACCATAAACACGGAGGACTTTTGCGGGTGAGAAACAGTGCGAAACCGGTTTCTTTACATTTCAGGCAAATGCCGTTGGAACTGCCGCTTTGTTTTGCAAAGGGTCATTGCTCTTGACCGTATGGTGGTCGCACCGCTATGAATTGCGTTCCCTTTCTCTCTGTCGTCGTGAACGAAACAAGTGTGGGACGGTCGGAAGGCGGTGCCAGTGTTTGTTTCGACAACAGCGACGGAAAAACCACGGGTCACGTGGGACGCGCGACAGCCGCCGCCTGCGGAGCGTTTATGTACTTCCTTTTCGACGCAGATCGAGTAGCCTACAAACAGCGCGGACTTCCGCAAGAAATACAGTTAGATTGACACCGGGCGTTGTTCATAAGCAGCGAGGTCCCATGTGAACGGCAGCGAGGCCTTGTCTGTCCTCGAGTTCATAGCCACGATGATGGAAAAACAACTCTTTCTTTAAAGCCGCACCTGGTCTTGTAGCCGTGCAGCTGTCTTGCGTAAGCGTTACTAATTGTTAGCGTTTCGCGTCCCAAAACAACAAGGAAGGAAAACAGAGGAAAAAGAAAGGCAGGGAGGTTAACCAGCCTATAGGCAGCCGGTTTGCTACCCTGCGCATGGGAGAGGGATGGGGGAGATGAAAGAGATGATCACGAAAGACGCCGTGGTGGAGATGTGCGCCTGAGTGCTCAGGCCGCTAACATTGTGCTTCCATCAAAATGCGGTCGCACGGCTGGGATTCGATCTCGCGACCTTTTTTCTTGCGTAAGCGTCGTAGAGTGGCAACGCATTCAGGCGCTTGGTAATAAATTAGACGTGTACACACTGACTTGTCTAGATTCTGTTTAACTTGTTTCAATACATCTCCCATTGCCGTCTCTCGTGCAGGGTAGCGTTTTGGGTTCGGACCTATAGTGAATCTTCGACCCGTCATCCAACCTCAAATAAATAGCAGTTCTAATCTCGTGGTTATTAATTGATACTGATAAATATCTTCATTTGTTTCATCTTCTGTAACACATTTGCATTTGTTACTATATATATAGTTCAACGCATATTTACAGACACATGCAAGCTACCAACTGTCATTCTTAGATAGATATGTGGGCTTTAAAGTCCCAAAACCTCCATATGATTATGAGAGACGCCGTATAGTGGAGGGCTCTGGAATTTTCGACCACCTGGGGTTCTTTAACGTGCACCCAAATCTGAGCACACGGGCCTACAGCATTTTCGCCTCCAACGATAATGCAGCCGCCGCAGCTGGGATTCAATCCCGCAACCTGCGGGTACCTTTGCCACAAGACCAAGTACCTTAGCCACAAGACCTTAGCCACAAGTACCTTAGCCACCAGCCACAGTACCTTAGCCACAAGACCACCACGGTGAGGCCCAACTGTGATTTTTCAATGTTCTTTCCTTCCCTTATCAAGGTACAGCAGACGCGAAAAACAACATGGTGATTATTTACCCCCCGTAATAAATAATACACACGGTTAAATATAGATTGGTAGGGCTGGTATTGCTATGCGTAATACCGCCGTTGATGTGAGATATAACCCAACTTCTATGCTTATTCAGAAATGCGTTTTTTGCACTCTCTATAACACATCTGTATAGCACTGTATTATATGTTCTTTTATTTATCAAATAATTATACCAACATTGCGTTGTTTTACCATATTACTTCTTTTGTAGTATATAATATTGATGGCCTGTTCATATTTTGAAGTATACTTTGAAAGACTCCGAACAAGCAAACATCACCTGCACGCCCGAGTGCGATTCGGGGCCCCCACACAGGTGTTGAAATAACCTTACGGTGTCTGCTGCATCTTTCGCACGCGTACTTTTGCTCGCAAGCTTTTCTAACCAATTCCTTTTATCCCATTCATTTTGCGTTTGTCATGGACCCCGATGACATGTCATCAAAAAAGAATTCGATATAAGTCATTATTGAACTGATTTATATACAGTCCTCCGTATTGAATTCCTTGTTTCGAAAAGCATTCTTACATCGTTGTTGAGCTGCATGGTAGTTTCGTGGTGGTTCAGCATACGGGACAAAAGTTAAAAGGTGGTGGGTAAGTGTGGCAAAATATCCGAGGGATTTAAAAGCGGCATTGAAAAGCTTGATATTTCGTGCACGTGCTAGAAAAAGGGCATGAATTAAACACAGAAATGCAACGTTCAGGAATTGATTGATATGTGGGGTTTAACGTCCCAAAACCACCATCTGATTATGAGAGACGCCGTAGTGGAGGGCTCCGGAAATTTCGACCACCTGGGGTTCTTTAACGTGCACCCAAATCTGAGCACACGGGCCTACAACATTTCCGCCTCCATCGGAAATGCAGCCGCCGCAGCCGGGATTTGAACCCGCGACCTGCGGGTCAGCAGCCGAGTACCTTAGCCACTAGACCACCGCGGTGGGGCAACGTTCAGGAATTAAAGCAGTGTGGCGAAAAAGAAAAAAAAACGAATGACGCCATGAAAGACGTAGACAAACCTGTTCGCAACCAGCCTATGCAAACGGACACAGCATGTTTATAAGTTTACCACACGCTGCTGTAAGAACGATAATAATCAAGCACATCATAATTGCGCAGCCGACGTGGCTTACTGCATTGATCTTTGGTATTATCTAGTCCTTCCAGATAGTAAACCCCAGTTTACGCACCCGACCTTATATATACATTGTTTTTTTTTCATTTCCTTTTTTTTTTGTCAATTCACTGGATAGCGGTTGCGGACACCGGTGATGGTGGCGGTGGGGGCACAAAACTACAGTTCCTTCGCTGTATGTGACTACTGAAATATAGTTGCTTGTTAACCTCACTGCTCATCTACTCTAAGAATGTCAAGTATAGCACCATCTTGATGGCCCTCTGCACTCAGAAGGCTGGATACAAGCATCAATCCACCGGTCTTTATGAGGCTTTATTCCTGAATCCAACTCATTTGTTTACGCGTTACACGTACACCTCTCGTGATATCATGCAAACAAGCCATGCCCGACGGCTTTCTCTCGATTAAAAGGAAAAAGAGATAGAGAGCAATCTATCTACATTGAAGTGATTATGCGATGTATTCATCTAGTAGTCAGGTTCACTGAACATTGGATGAAAAAAGAAAAGTATGGGCCTGTTGGTGTTTCATTTTTGGCAAAAATAAAACGCGATGAATCAGACAAACAAAAAAGTGAGACAGGCATGAAGAAACGCTATAGTACAGTGTGAACACTCAATGAAAAGCATCGCTGCAGCTACACAATATGCGCATGAGCACAACTCATTTGACGAGTGCAACAACAACAAGCAACAAAAAAGGACAACAGGCAAACGGAGCCTGATGTGAGATATACCCCTGTGACAACTCTAACATCTGGCAAAATAATGCGCAAGAATACCCCAATTTAAAGCGCGCTGCGAAAGAACAGAAATTACTTGAAAAAAGCAAACTACCAGGAAGAAAAACAGGATCATAAATAAAACCCGCCTAAATATGGCTACTATCGAATCTCACTTCTTTGTTTTAAGGGCTCCTAAACTACAATGGTAGCTCAGTTGGTATAGCATCAGACGCGTTATTTCAAGTCCACAAATTCGGTTCCTGTACACGGCAAGTTATCATTTCGTCCTCTTTTCTTTCTTCACATTTACATTGCAATTACCTCTAATGACATCTCTTAAACTTTCTTTGCTGTTACTTTCTTGGCTTATAATATCGTTGACTGATGTGTGGGGTTTAACGTCCCAAAACCACCCTTCCATTAAGAGAGACGCCGTAGTGGAGGGCTTCGGAAATTTCGACCACCTGGGATTCTTTAGCGTGCACCCAAATCTGAGCTCACGGGCCTACAGCATTTTCGCCTCCATCCAAAACGCAGCCGCCGCAGCCGGGGTTTGATCCCGCGACCTGCGGGTAAGCAGTCGAGTACACTATAGCCACGAGACCACCGCGGCGTGGCGGCTCATATTATAGTGTCTAAAAAAGAAAAATACAAGCCCTTATATTTACATTTTGCTTCATTCATAGTGCAGGTCTCGTTCTGACAGACGACGTCTTCAGGTAGTATGTGATGGTCAGCTACCAGCTCGCAATAAGGCAGTAAAATAGCTTTTCACACTCGCCGTAATCCCTAGTGGTGCTGACTGACACTCTCACGTTTAAATGCACACAAATGGCATAAAGTGGGCCCGATAAAGAGGACGAAGGGATGGCCTGTGCTGTGAAGGGATGGCAAAGCGTGGATTGGATGCGTTATTCGAAGGTGGCAGGTTCGGTCTCTGCTTGCAGCAAGTGATCTTTTCGTTCACTTTTCTTTGTTCACATTTACATCTCAATTACTACTTATAACATCCCCTACACTTTGCTTGACATATTTGCTTATTGGTTCTCATTACCTTAAGGTGAACAGTGATTGGAATATGAGCGTTAAAAAAATGAAGGGTTCTACGTAACGGTCTTGCATACGTTTCTTCCATAAGCTGTGCATGCTGTTATGCCACAGACATGGTCCTCGTTTGGGAGTGCTTCTTCTCACGAAATCGAGCGCTGTTCCGGCGAACTGTCTCCCCCCCTCCCAGCGCCACCTTCCACGCCGGAGGCGGCACCGTGCAGTTCCGGCTATGGCTGCGTCTCCTCCGTCGAGCCCCGGGAACTGGTCTCAGAGAAAGGACCAAAAACGTTACTTAAGGTCATGCTGGCCCCATGTTTAAAAGGATTTCGCCCCAGCCGACGTTGTCGTGCTGGCCGGCTCTGTACGAACTAATCAAT